ACTCTCAGATGACCTATGTCTTCTGGGCCTTTGGACCATAATTTTGCAGGTACCTTTGTTTTGATGATATCCGGAAAATTGGACCTCTGCTCTTTTGCTTCCCCACGGGGTTCATCTAAATGCAGCACTAGAGGTAGGGAGCACAAAACTGAGGTATCTGATTCAGATAGGGGAGTAGACAATTCTACTTGACCTTCTGGGGTGAAGGTGATAGATGCCTGCAGGCGTGAGAGGACATCAGCACCTAACAGGTTAATTGGGCATGTGGAGGATACTACAAATCGAGCAAGCAAGTTTGGGTAATTGCCAACTCGCAATGGGGTTTTTAAAGGACTGTGCCTTGGTTGGCCATCCACTCCAACACAAGAGACATCTATTTCTGATAGGAATGAGGCATCTGGCAGGTCTTGTTCTCTCAGAACACTTCGGGCTGCACCTGTGTCAACTAAAAATGTGGTTTCTCGTCCTTCAATGGGTAAAGTCACAGTGGCAAGTGGCCCCCCCCCCCTTTATCCCCTGAAGACACTGCCATGACAGGGGTTAATGACACAGGCTTGCCAACTTCCTAATCATCTGGTTCCTTAACAATTGGAACCGTTTCTGTGGCCTTATGGGCAGGTGCAGGCTTGGGCGCCTTTCTGGGTTCCGGGCACTCATTTTTGAAGTGACCTTTAGCCTTGCAATTGAAACAGAAACCATCCTCAGGTTTGGTACCTCTTGGGACAGGGGTGAAGCGGGACACCATGAGAGGGGCTGAGGAAGAAACCGAAGTCTGTTTTTTGGGAGCCTGTGCAGACTCTAGACCCCTGGCAACTAAAAGTAGGGTATCCAGAGAGACTACCTTATATTCAGGGCGTGCAGCAATGATTCCCTTACGAATATAATCCTTTACACCTTGGACAAATGCACCTGACAGCATTTGTGAATGAATCTTGTCGGTACGATCAAAGCCCAAATCTGTAAACATTTGAAACAGTCTTGCATGAAATCTTTCCACTGATTCTCCTTTCTCTTGTATAACATCAGTAATGCCGGCAGCCTGATCTGCAAGTTTGTCTTTTGCCCACTCCTTTACCTGGCTGCAAAAAGTTACTCCGGAGGGGTAATCAGTGTCACTTGTCAGTAAATCGGCATTGAGGTGTCGGGACATGCTGGGCCAATATGCATCCCCGGCCTTGATTGCACAAATGCTTAGTAAATCACGCCATGCTGCGGAATAAGTCTTTTGAATCTGAACTATCCCTTGGTAAAAAGGCATAGGTTGCTTTTCTGGGTCAGGGAGCGATTTTATTAAAGCACTAGCTTGCGTTGGATTGAAAGCAACATATTTAGGAGGGGCCTGGTCCCCCCTATTTCCCCGACCCGCATGCCCGAAAGGATCATCTATGGAACGGTGGGGCTGTGACTCTACAACCTCTAGTGAGCCCTGGGAACCCTCATCATTCTCATCCTCATCTGTGGTTTGGGCCCTTCTACGTGATGGGATAACCTGAGGTGTCAGAACCGGGGGAAATGAGGGATTCCCAGATGCTGGGGTGGCGGGTAGGTTATGAGCCTGTGGTGAGTAGTCACCGGGAAGTACCGGCATCAGGGGTGCTGAATGACTGGGGGCCGCCATATTGGAGGCGTGGAAAGGGGCTGCGTTAGGGTTAAGGGAAGAAGTGGCGGCCATATTGGATGTGGGCACATCCGGGGCAGACTGGGCCGGACTGGGCATGACCGGTGTCTGGGGAGTGGCTTGGAAAAAGGGGTAGGGATAATTTGGGTAGGGCGAGGACATTGGGTATGTTAAGGGGTATGGCCAGGGAAACTGGGCAGGGGCTAGGGCGGAACCAAGGGAGGGCATAATAGCTGAGTAAGGATTAGGGGGGGGAGTGGGGACTTGGGCTGTGGGAGGAGTGAGTAACGGGGAAGACGGAGCGGGATTAGTGGAGACGGGTGTAGGAGGAGTAGCTGAAGTGGGTGCAGTAGGATTGGCAATAGCAAGGGAGGAGGGGTTAGCTAACTGGGTGGAAGAAGATGGGGTAGGAGGGTTAGCAACGGAGAGTGAGTGTTGAGAAGAAATGGTGGATGAAACATTTAGACTAGGCAGATTAGTCACAGAAGGCAATGCAGGGATGGATGGGGATGATGGGAGTGTTAGGGATGATGGAGGGGAGAAAAAGGATCCGTCAGAATTCAGGACTGGGCAGACAGGGGAGGTGACGGGAGGTTCGGGAGTGGAGAACATGGTCAGCTGGCTGTCGCCTTTTGCTGACCGAACCTTGGGAATAGACATCCCCTGGGCACCATCTTGGGGTGTTGGCTGAGAGGATGCCCCAGTAACACAATTCTACATATTAACCATCACTTGTCAAAGATTTTAATAATTCTACATCAAATCCATTTATTTTAGTTAAGAGATACATTACTGTGAGTATTAGTACTGTGGAGTTCTGGTATAAATTTACACACCAAGAATACTGAGCTCCTAGAAAAGAAGGATAATAAGATAGGAAAGAGGTTTTGGGTCCAAACTAGGTTCTGTCCCTCCTAAATGGTTACACTTGGGAGCACTGGCGTAACCAGAGTTAAGGTCGCCTGGGGCAGAACAACATTTTGCACCCCTTCCCATCCCCATATATTCCATCCCATGAGCTCCCCTTCACCCTGTCCCTCTGGTTGTAAGGCTAATTTAACTCATCTAAAGACTATAGTATTTGTTGATGAAGTGCATACAATTTTTAAGAATAAACAATTCTTAATGAAATAGAAAAAAATATTTGGTGACGAATTTAAGTATGTTTTATGTGAATGTATGTATGTCTGTTTTTGGAGTGTTGGCATTTGAATGCAGTTGTATGTTTGTATGTATGTTTGCTATTTGAAAGCTGTGGTGTACTTTGTGTTTAGTTTTTGTATGTACAGTTGGTGTTTGATTTCCAGGTGCGCATACACTGCCCCACGCATATATGCAGATACACACACTGCCACACACAGATATACATGGATTCATACACCAACACATATACATACACACTCCATGACAGATACACAATCTCATTGATTTGAAACACACGCGCTGACAGATACACTGTCACACTCTAAATGACACACACACTCTCACTGATTTGAAACACACACTGATAGACACACATACCCTGACAGACACACACACTGACTGGTACACTCACACGTTTATTGTTTTATTTCTTGCACCCACACAAATTTATTTTAGTTATTGTGGTTTTATTTTTTTAGGCCCATCCAACATCCCCACATTTGGGAGACCCGGTGTAAATCCTCTCCCTGGGGTCCAGTGACTTCTGTAAGCTTCCATTTCTCACTGCTCCCAAGCTCGGTTTAGTGATACCAGGGCCGGAGTGACGTCATATTCTGCCTTCCGGTATCACAGCAGGGTGCAAGAGGTAGCAGTGAGGAATTGGAGAACATCAGTGCTCTCTTGCCGCCTGCCTCCTCACTCCCCCTGGTATATTTTGGCAGAGTTGGCACCTACTGTCTGGGCTAAGCAGGTGCCTACTCTGCCTTACTAAATAATATTTTGCTCAGGGGAGCCTTAAGGTGGCCAGAAGTGTTACTTTTTCGACTAACAATTATCGCCAGATTTTAGTCAACTCAAATTTGAGATTTAGTTGACTAAAACAATTCATATAACTAAAAAAAGACTAAAACTAAAATGGCTTTTTAGTCAAAAGACTATGACTAAATTGAAATTTGCTGCCAAAATGAACACTGATGGGTAAGACACCGGGGGCCTGGCAGATTGAAACACATGGGGAACTGGGGAGTGAGACACATGGTAGGGCAAAAGAGACAGACCACTCTTGAGAGAGAGACACCCAGAATGAGCTTGGAGGACACAAAGAGACGCAGAAGGGCCGAGGAAGGAGCAAAATAGACAAATAAAGGTTTTAGTTGTGTCGACTAAAACTAGACTTAAACTAAAACAATTCAGATGACTAAAATACGACTAAAACTATATGTCCAGTTTTAGTCAAAAGGCTATGACTAAAACTAAATTTGGTCCACCGGGGACCACCGTGACAGCCAATTGGCCTTCTCTTGTCAGCCACCTCACCCCATTTTTGCGCCTGGAGCAGTCGCACAATCTGCCCCCTGGTAGTTACGCTACTGCTTGGGAGGTATGTAGTTATCGCTAGCCTTAGCATACCTCTCCAACTTAGCCGAGAATAGCTAGGATCGGGGCTGGGGCCGCCTTCAGAGGAGGTGTCACCAGTGACACAACTTGAGTCCCTGGCGACAACCCTAAATGGGCATTACTGCCCCGAAAAAGGCTGCTCCGACAAGTGAAGAGGCGTGTGAGCAGGCGTCCAGCATGAAGGCGAGACACCAGGGAACAAAAATGGTATGGTGGGACAGGACCCTGAAACATAGTACATGTTGGTATTCCTAACGCTATGATGTTCCTTTAAATGTGAAATTGACTTTGAATTCTCACTTTAGTGAATAACCCTGTAAGAGATTAGTGAATAACTCTATAAATTAATTTTTAAATCCTGAAAATGTACAGTAGTGAATAATCCTATGAACTAATTCCAGGCTCTGCCAGTAGGGGGTGCTAGACTGGGCACTGTTATATGAAATGATGTTGCACTTCCTTGCACCTTTACAACTAGCATAGTCCTTACTCACGCGCAGTATGTATAACCTAACTCGTACTGTGAATGGCTATCACTTTGATTGACAGACTTTTTACCCAACCAGTTACAGACAGCTATCAGTTTTCCCCGCCTCCCACTGTGTCGGTTAGTACCCTGTAATCATCCTGAAAAACCACGCCCCTCGGGATGCCGATGACCAATCAGAGGCCGCCAGCTTTACAGTTGCTAGGCAGCTTTACCTCCACCGATGCACTTTTCGTTCCGCCAATCCAGTAAGGCGTCATAGGCATCCAATAGGACCCAGTGACGGGGTAGGACGAAGGGGCGTGGCGGGAATGAAAGGCCTTCTCTGATTGGCCAGTCCTTCCCAGTGCATGCCCAGTAGGTGTGCATGACGCAGCGCTTTCCCGTTCGTGTGACTCCCCTCCCCCAAGGCCGGAGCTCCTCCCACTCCGCAGTCAGTCACACAGAGAGTCAGACCGGGCACGGGGGGCGGCACGGACAAACAAACTGAGCGTCAGAGACCGGCAGCGGCGACTAGCAGCGCGTAACGGACACAGCGGCTCGAGGCGGCTCCGGAGCAGCACGTGACCCCCGGCGGGAACCCCCCAGAATCTCCCCCACAGGCAGAGCGGACAGCGAGCGGCATGGCCTCCGGCTCAGAGTGAGTGTGCAGCCGGGGGGGCAGCGGGGGGGGGGACAGGGAGGGATGCCGGCTGTGTGTGACTGGAGGGAGGGGGGAGCCGGCTGGGTGCCGGTAGGCCGAGCGCTGACATCCCTTCCGGCCTCTTCATGCTGTGTCATGTAGGCCCGGCCTGGGCCCAGCACTGCCTGCAGCATGACAGCCGGCCTGCAACAAAGACAATGGGAAACCGGACACACACACAGATACACACAGAGAGAGAGACAATAGCAGGAATAAACCGAATAAACCGGCTCAATCAGCATTTATACACCAACATCACCATCCCTGATACACCAACATCACCACCACCACTGATACACCAACATCGCCACCACTGACCAGCCCTGTCATTGCTGGTAGACCAGCCCTGCCATGCTTTATGGTCATTTTATAAAGCTCTGCCATCGCTGGTAGACCTTCTCAACTATTACTAATAAACCAGCTCTGCCATCTCTATAATAAACCCTTGCCCTAAGTTGGCGCTACATAAATGCCAATAATAAAGGCCATCTGTTATAAGCCAGCTCTGTCACAATTTATAAGCCAGCTCTGCCACCCCTTATAAACCACCTCTACAAATCTTCTATCATTTTAAACTCTCTGGCCAGCTCCGTGCCTCTGTCAATACATACTAGATACATGTCCTATACATCAGCTACTTCACATCTCATGCTGTTTACATTTCAGATCATGCTTTACATATACAACCACTATTCATGTCGATCATCATATCCTGCTTACATGTTAAATGAGGTCTGAGCCATGGTCAATATATTAATTACATGTCATACATGTTAGACAGGCTAGTAGTTACACTACTTTCAGTATATGCTGATCACTTTCTAGTCCATGTTTTTTTTTCAAACCTGCCATACACAAATTGTTGGATGATTACATAGAAGTCCATGACCTAGATGTCCGAAATATCCTACTTATTGACATTACTTGATTTCACACCAGTTCTTGTTTTACAAATCTCTGCACATCATCACTGCGTGCTCCTTATGTGGCAGCCAGTTATATTAAGAGAGCTATCACTTCTTCTCTGCAATTTACACCATTGAGTAAAACTTTGGAAATCACCTATAAGTTAAGATTTTTTTTTTTTTGTTTCTTTTGAATGTGTTTTAAAGAAACACTGCCAACATACATTTAAAACTCTTTCTGACATGTTTGTATATCTCCTTATTTAATTTTCACACCTCACAAATACATAAGACCTACATTTGTTAAAGGAACACTACAAGTACACCATCATTGTAAGTAGTGAAACCTTTTTAAAGGAACACTCCAGACACAAAATGCACATCAGGTTCAGTCAGGAGTTTATTTCCCTTATTTGTTAAAGGCACACTATAGTCACCAGAACAACTATAGCTTAATGTAGTTATTCTGGTGAGTATAATCATTGCCTTCAGGCATTTTAATACAAACACTGCCTTTTCAGAGAAAAGGCAGTGTTTACGTTGCTCCTAGGGACACCTCCAAGTGGCCACTCCTCAGATGGCCAGTGTAGGTGCTTCCTGGGGCAGTGCTGCACAATAGGCAGCATTGCTGTTCAGTCTCCACGCACTGCATGGAGAAGCTGAATTTTCCTCAGAGATGCATTAATTCAATGCATCTCTATGGGGAGGTGCTGATTGGCCAAAACAGTTTGGCCCTGTCCCTTTGCTGATTTTAGCCAATCCAATGCTTTCCCCACTGGAAATCTTTGGATTGGCTAAAAATCTGCAAATCTGATGTCACCAAGGGGGAGGGACCAGTGTCAGCAGACCCGCACAGCGCTTGAAAAAGTAGAGTTTTAATGGGGCTAAGTGGGGGGGCGCAAGCCACCTAAATGGTGGGTTTAGCACTATAGGGTCAGGGATACATGTTTGTGTTCCTGACACTATAGTGTTACTATATAGTTTATAAAAGTCCAGATTGAAGTAGAAACCGGCACTTGTATAATAGGGGGAAAACACACGTTTTCTTCTAAGCAAAGATATTGCGGGACTGTCTTCCCCTCTCCCTCCTCCTTCTTTTTTCAATGAACTGTACTACGGTTCTCAAAGGACCCAAGGTAAGTTGTCTAAACAATTATTGACCGGAGAAGGATGGTGGCAGACTCTCTTTGGCTGTCCACTTAGAGACTTTCCAATGCAGGTCATTGGGAATGTTTTGCAAGGAAATTACTTCCTCTTGAGTTCAGTTTGCTCCAGTTCCCCAGGCTCTGCAGAGCCCAGAAAGAAAGTGAAAGTTTTCTCTATTATTCTTAGTTCTCACATTATTTTCAATGGATAGCCCATGAACCTTAATGAGCACTATACTGTCATTCCTGATAAATAAGGGATACAATTATTTGGAAAGTTAATAGCTTCTGAGAAGTTTCTATTAAATTGGCAAGTTGTTTTATACAGACTGTTTTTCAGCCACAAATACATTGTGAATAAAGGGTTACTCCAAACACCATGGCTACTTCAGCAGTCATTAGCCAGCCCAGAACAAATGGCCTGTAGTGGTTATGATGATTGGAGTGGCATATAAGGCACCATTATCACTCAATGTTATGTAGTGGATATGGTGTTTAGAGTTCCACTTTAGGGCATTCTAGGCAACTTAATAATTAAAGGATTTTAACAATAAATCAACAGGATTAAGGCATTTTGTCAAAGCCCTGCTCCTCAATGACTTTGTGTGTGCATTAATGGCTACTATACAATCTTTCATAGATAGTACTGTGGATGCCTATGTATGCACATGATAAGCGACGGCCATGTTTGCCCTATGGTGCCACTGAGTGGGGGAATGGAGTAGTTCTTGTAAAATATTGCCACTTAAATGAATAGAATGAACTGTAACAAAAGATGATGGCATGTGCATTACTGAATGGTGGGTGTCCTATTACTGTTCTTTTTGCAGATAGTGCTGTAGATACTGGAATCAGCTTTCGCAGTGAAATTGTAAAGTTTAACACAAGTACTAGCACTGAACAAATATAACCCATATAACTGACTATCGTACACATAGGAGGCAGTGGTATAAAAAAAGTTCTCGACAAATCTCTCAAACCCAATGAAAAATTTGTAGAGTTGGTAAACTCACGTAGATCATTAGCTGCTTCTTTCAAACTGCTGCTGCTGGGTTATCTAATGCAAAAGATGTTGGACTTTTTGCACTTTGTTTTATACAATTCAGTCACTCCCTTTCAGCAGAGAATAGAAAGTAACAGATGTTGGGCACATTCAAGGAAGTAATTCTGTATTAGAAGTTTTTTTCCTGCGACCTGAAATAGGTTAGGTGAATAAACATTTTGTTATTCTCCCACCTCAGTTAATACCAAATTACAATGTCATACTACTGTAGGACTGTTCTACAGACCTGGACTCAGTTCCTTTTCTGAATTTGCTGGATATTTCTACTGATATGTCAGATGTAGAGAAGGTTTGAGTATCAAAGGTTTTTCCTGCCTTATCTCATCCCCTTTATCCACCTGTAAAAATGAATACAGTCTGTTCTCAGACCATTCCAGGTCCCTTTGTTCTCCCATTCAGCATCCTAAGAGCACATGCAGAATGCGCCACCTGTCCCACATGTGCTCATGCCATTGTACAGAACACTGGTGAGACCTCACTTGGAGTATTGTACACAGTACTGGAGACCATATCTTCAGAAGGATATTGATACCTTAGAGAGGGTTCAGAGAAGGGCTACTAAACTGGTACATGGATTGTGGGATAAAACTTACCAGGAAAGGTTAAAGGATCTCAACATGTATAGCTTGGAGGAAAGACGAGACAGGGGGATATGATAGAAACATTTAAATATATAAAGGGAATCAACACAGTAAAGGAGGAGACCATATTTAAAAGAAGAAAAACTACCACAACAAGAGGACGTAGTCTTAAACTAGAGGGGCAAAGGTTTAAAAATATCATGAAGTATTACTTTACTGAGAGGGTAGTGGATGCATGGAATAGCCTTCAAGCTGAAGTGGTAGAGGTTAACACAGTAAAGGAGTTTAAGCATGCGTGGGATAGGCATAAGGCTATCCTAACTATAAGATAAGGCTAGGGACTAATGAAAGTATTTAGAAAATTGGGCAGACTAGATGGGCCGCATGGTTCTTATCTGCAGTCACATTCTTTGTTTCTATGTGGGTAGGAATTGGGGTCAATTTTTATTTATTTTAAGGACTATTCCCCTTTAATTGTTCACCATTAAAGGAACACTCCAAGCACTCTAACCACTACAGCCCAAAGTAGTGGTGATGTTTCCAGGCAGGACTGTAGAACGGGTATGCAAAACCTTTGACTCTGACTTCTCAGTTTATGGTGCCTCTGATTCCATATATTACATACAAATTTGCCAAAAAGTCTCCACAATTCTGGCCTAATTAGTGTATTTCTGAGGTTTGTTGGATCATAACATCATTCTCTTTTTAGAATAATACTATAAAATTATGTCATTAAATGCAGAAGATATGTTGAATTCTCTTTATTCTATCAAAGGTTATAGCTGAATAACTAGAAAAAGGAAACCCTATGAAAGAAAACATACTACATGGAGTAGTTTATAATGATATTACAATTTACTGTATATGTAAATATGTCAGTATTTTTGAGGTTAAAAAAAAAAAAAAAAAATCTCCTAAAAGCTAGGGGTCGGCTAATACATTGAACATAAAGTTGTTGATACATAGCCAAGACTAAATATAAAGCCCTAGTGCTTTATCGATGCATGCAATGCTTTTATCCTTCTCATTCCGCTTTATCACTTCGAAATAGAATTTGTGGGGTGCTCACCATCAGGTTATCACCTGACTGTGTACGCTTAGGAGCCATTATTTACACTTTATATATACAAATTTCAGAAGAATTAGCAGATGACATTAGCACTTGCAGTATTGTATTGTTTGTTGACTGGAGAGATGATTACCAAAGCATACATGCAAAAAAAGTTAACTTCACACTGTTTTGTTTCTTTATATTTAAACTCAGACCATCCTATTAGTCCTATAACCGATCATTTAATCGGGTACAGTAAGAAAGAAAATCTATAAGGTTATATGAAATTGGACTATTTGTTGTTATCTGCTGCTTAGCATAGACCCAAATTGTAAGTGTTCGAGTTCGTAGACCTAGCCTTTGCCCAAATTTTGCACATTGATGTTGGGGTCGACTTATCTGGCTAATATAGGCTTAAAGCTACATAACACCTCTAATTTTGCAGGATCATCTTATACGTCAGCATATTGGCAACATATTTTTTACTGACTCCAGTAACCCAAAATCACTTCCTACTCCACATCCCTGGATCCTGGAGTACTCTGGCACTCTCCCAGAGTATGTAGTCAAACCTCTTTAGAAGGATTTGATAACTTTCCTTGCAGGAGCCTCCAGCAGAAGAGTAGGCATTGTCTTGCAACCTGGTGGGATGCAGGTAAGTTTTAACTGTTCTTTAACAGATTTCCTAATGTGGGATGGCGTCAGGACACTCCTGGTTCCATTACAGTGCGTTGGAGTATCCCTTTTAAATACACTCCAAAGACCCTAATCCCTGCAGTTTATTACTTTTTCAGCACAGGGTCATCCATTTAAAAACAAACTATGCATTAAGTGCTTTCTTCTAACACCTTAAAGGATCACTATTGTGTCAGGAAAACAAACTCGTTTTCCTGACACTGTCATCCTTGGGGAACCCTCATCCTCAGGGTCCCCCTCCTGTTGGGCTGAAGGGGTTAAAACTTTTGCATCCAGCGTTGCAGAAGCGCCTCTAGAGGCTGGAAGACTGCCACTAGAGGCTGGATTAACCCCTAATGTAAACATAGCAGTTTTTCATTGAGCTGAAGTGGTTCACCGCCCAGTCCGTGATGCTCGGCAGGATGGGTGTTGAGGTGCTGCTGTATGCAGTGGTGGTCGCCTGTGGGGACTGGGATGACCCGCACTGGGAGAGCATGTCTGTTCCGATCGGCGGTCAGGCTCCGCCCCCGGTTAAGATTATTTTGTCTGTTTATTATCAGGAAACTTTATATACTCCTTTTGTAATTGTGGCCTTTGTTTTTACATTTACTCACTGTTTTGCTACTGTTGCAAAATTTGCTTTACACAATATATGCAAGTCATTCCCATCCTGGAGTAATTGTTCATTACCTTTTCATTGTGTTTCTACTGTTTAATAATGTACAGACAGTGTTTCCACGTGGAGTGTATATAATGGAGCACTCCTTGCAAAATGTCATGTGTATTTACTTACTGAAGCTTTCTTGGTAACTAAAAACTGTGTGCTTGGTTTCCCAGTAAACAAATATTAGCAAGCTGAAATTGACACTATAGTCTCTATTATTATTATTATTATTATTATTATTATTATTATTATTATTATTACCATTTATATAGCGCCAACAGATATCGCAGTGCTTTACATTATTATGAGAGGGGGGATTTAACTATAAATAGGACAATTACAAGAAAACTTACAGGAACGATTGGTTGAAGAGGACCCTGCTCAAACGAGCTTAATCTATAGGAGGTGTGGTATAAAACACATTAGGACAGGAAATGGCAATCAAGGTGGGAGTGACGCAGAGCTGGAGGAGAGAGTAGACTGCTGCCCTTTAGGAGAGCGCAAGAGACAGGTATGTGAGGTAGAGGTTACTCTGGGAGGCCATAAGCTTTTTTTAAAGAGTTGGGTCTTAAGGCACTTCTTAAACGATTGAAGACTAGGAAAGAGTCTGATGGCAGTAGGCAGGCTATTCCATAGAAAGGGAGCCGCCCGCGAGAAGTTCTGCAAGCGTGAGATGGCCGTACGGGTGCGAGCAGTGGAAAGGAGAAGGTCACGTGCAGAGACAGAGAAATGGTCATACCTATGGATCTGTGTAGAGAAATAAGAGGGGCTAGAATTGTTCAGTGCTTTATATGTATTGGTTAGCACTTTGAAGTGACTCCTATAGGATACAGGAAGCCAATGTAAGGACTGACAGAAGGGTGAGATGTGAGAGGACCGACTAGAGAGGAAAATCAGTCTGGCGGCAGCATTCATTACAAACTGTAACGGGGCAATACCGCTTTTGGGAAGACAAATTAGGAGAGGGTTACAATAATCCGTACGGGAAATTACTAAAGCATGGACAAGCTCCTTGGGAGCATCTTGCGTAAGAAAGGGGCGAATGCGGGCTATGTTTTTAAGATGGAATCTACAGGATTTGGCAACATTCTGGATGTGAGGCTCAAAGGTGAGGCCAGAATCAAGTATGGCGCCAAGACAGCGCGCTTGCAAGGATGGACTTATGTGGATACCACTAATTTGAAGGGAGAGCGAAAGAGGATGATCAGTATTAGGAGGAGGAAAGACAAGGAGCTCCGTTTTAGAGAGATTGAGTTTCAGAAAGCGGGAGGACATCCAGTCAGAGATGGAAGAAATGCATGCAGTGACACGTTGCAGGACGGCAGGGGAGAGGTCCGGGGAGGAGAGAGAGATCTGGGTGTCATCAGTATACAGGTGGTAGTGAAATCCAAATGAGGTAATAAGTCTGCCAAGAGAGGCAGTATAAAGAGAAAATAGAAGGGGACCGAGGACAGAGCCTTGGGTAACTCCGAGACCGGATGAGGGGAGGAGGTATTAGAAAAAGAGACACTGAATGAGCATTGGGAGAGATCAGAGGAAAACCACAAGAAGACCGTCACAGAGAACGAGTGATTTTGAAGAGTTTGAAGGAGAGCATGATCAACGGTGTCAAAGGCAGCAGAGAAGAATTATTATGGAATAGTGACCTTTGGATTTAGCTGCGATTAGGTCATTAGTAACTTTGATAAGAGCAGTCTCAGAGTGGAGAGGGCAGAAGCCAGATTGAAGAGGGTCAAGGGAATTGAGGAAGTTGAGACATATGGGTAAAGACAAGTCTTTTCAGACGCTTTGAGGAAAAAGGGAGCAGGGATATGGGACGATCGTTAGAAGGGGAGGACGGGTTAAGAGGTGTTTTTTTTTTTTTTCTGGATAAGTACTACCGTGGCATGTTTAAGGTCAGCTGGGACAACGCCAGAAGAGAGAGAGCAGTTGAAGATGTGTTTTAAGGAGGGCACAAGACAGGGGGAGAGAAATCTGATAGTCAGGTGGGACAGGATCTCGAGCGGGCAAGTAGTGGGGCGAGAGGAAAGGAGAAGCGCAGCCACCTCTTGTTAAGTAGCCAGGGAGAAAGTCTGAAGGGTAGGAAATTCATGAAAGAGAACTGCGAGGTGAAGAGAATTTTTTTTCTTAGCTGTTCAATCTTGTTGGTAAAGTAGCATGCAAAGCTATTGGCTGTAAGGTTATTTTGGGGGGTGGCCACTAGAGATCGACCGACATTGTTTTTTTTTTGTTTTTTTTTGTTTTTTTTAGAGCCGATACCGATAATCTGAACTTTCAGGCCGATAGCTTACCAATAATCTGTACATTTACAGTTTTGAGGGAAAATATTGTTTTTTGCAAATCTTTTTAAATTTTTTTATTTTATTAAGTGGTAAATGCACAACATATACATGCCAGTCAGGTTTTTTTTTTAATTTTTTTAAATTTTTTATTTTTTTAAGACTATATTTATATGTTTGTGTAGTGGATGCAGTGAGAGTATTTGATTTGTAAATGGTGTGTGTGTAGTGGGTGTTGGAACTCCCCTCCCCACCCCTCATTTCCCTTAATGTTCCTCTCCCTTATCTTGTAGTGATTAGGGATGGAATATTAGAAAAGAGGAAGTAGGTTAGCCAGGCAGCAAAGGGGTCAAGGACGATTAGAGGGAATCAGGGGGGCAATAAATAACAGCAATGTTAGCAGAGAACGGTTTGAAGAGGCGAATCAAATGAACTTCAAATTATGGGAAAGAGAGGGAAGGTTGAGTGAGTAGAGGTTTGAAGGAGCATTGAGGTGAGAGGAGAAATACTACACCACCACCACCTTTACATTCAGATTGTCTTGGGTTGTGGGTAAGTTGAAGACCACCAAAGGATAAAGATGCAGGGGTAGCAGTGTCAGAGGGGGCGAATGAGAGATAAAGAGGTCGTGGACAGCAGTGGATTTTGTAATATTGCTAACCAAGCTTGCATTGCAGAGGGCAGTATTGAAAGAGGATTTAGAGGAAGAGTAACATGAGATGGGTATGAGATTGGTGTGGTTCCTTGAGTTAGTATGCGGTGGGTTTGCTGAGATGGGACCAGGGTTTGGAGAGATATCACCAGGAGCAGAAGGATGGAAAAGTGAAGGTGGGAGTAGGATTTGAAAGTGTGTGTTGTGTGTGTGTGTTTTTTTTATGAGTATGTATATAGAGGAGTTGGATGAGATAGGATGGAAAGGTATATGTAGAGTGCATGGGATATAAATAGAGGTGAGGGGAGTAAAGTAGAAGTAATGAAGATGGTGTTTCCAGGGACAGGTAAGCAGAAGGATAGGGATATTTTAGTAATGAGAGAAGTTGGTGTGAAAGTGAAAAATACAGCTTAATGTAGTGGTACTGGTGTCTATAGCATGTCCCTGCAGTCTTAGCAATATAAATAAAGTGTTGTGTGTTTTTTTTTTGTTTTTTTTTTTTAACTGCATGGTGTGCATCACTTGCGTTCAGCATGGAGATACTGAAAGCTCCTCAAAGAAATGCATTGATTCAGTGCATCTTTAGGAGGAGATGCTGATTAGTGCAGATAGGTGTTTTGCAGTACGTGCTCAATACCCTCCTATTGCTTTCCTATGGGAAAACATTGGATTGTCTAAGATCGTCAAGAATGATCATCTCAGCCTTGAAGGTGGAACCAGCCGTGGGGAGACTGCGAGAAAGGTAACCTTTTCACTCCCCAGCAAAGGGGGGCAGTGACCTAAATAGCCATTTCAGCACTGTCAGGAATATATGTTTGTATTCCTGACACTATAAGTATCACAGGCTGCCTTCATATAAGTAACACTAGTCATGAGTGGAGTTCATACTCCCCCAACTGCAAATCTACCTAAAAACCATGCTATGTAAATGTATTAGGGATTCTTTCTTCTCAACTGATCTAATCTTAAATAAGGTTTGTGTTATTTAATTATTTTTCCTTCCCTTTTTCCCCAAACAAAGTGCTGCTAATTGCGTAAGTGTGACGTTTTATGCCAGTAAGCGCTTTTCACAAAAATTCTTTTACAGCACGATTTTTATAAATTTCAGGGATTTCTGAACCACAACTCTCATTTAATTTTTCAGTGTAGACAACATGACATATATCATCGGAGCAAAAATCAGAATTGGCCTTGTTGGCTAATGGAGGACAACATATTTTATGATCCAGCAAGTAAATTACTATAATCTATCATACACATTGCACAACAAAATGTGGATGCATAGAGTATCCCTTTAAGATAAGAGTAAGGGTACGGAGCATGAAATGCACAATGTTATGGTCAGTCCGTGATGTGATGTCGTTCCTGGATGAATATTCCAGAGTCACCAAATCTGCAAATATGTTTTGATGGGTTTGGAGTTGAATATGGATGACAAGCCATGGCATTTGGAAATTTACTGTTGGCAAATGGCTGAAGATGCTTTTCATGTTATTGCAGGTTGTACCTTTCTTGCTAGTATTGATGAGCATGTCTGGCCTAGGTTCTCATATCTCTGGTATTTTGTTCATTCAGGAATACTTAGTGGTGCAGTATTCCTCCCTCCAATAAAACCTTAAAAAAAAAAAAAGAGGGGGGCTGCTATATAAGGATTTCAGTATTGTAGTTGTTTTTCAGATGAATAGGTTTTCCTCTGTTTTATTTATAGAGTTTATGACTATTAAGAGCTGCTTTATTATTGAGGGTTTGCCTATTTGAAGAGATGGATTGCTATGTAATGAGAGATCGTTAGAACATGGGGAGATATTAAAGGAAAGACTGAGCTGGATTTGCTTTCCATTTTGGATATAACCTATGTTATTAAAGCATGAAACCATTTTTGTTTTTTTAAAATGCTTTCTTCACACTATTTTATAGTTGCAGATTATAGTGGGTTTTTGTGTAATGCAGATCAGAGTTCTAATCGTAAATGTTTAGTATCCTGACAGCTTTTCTTTTTTGTGTGTGCACATATCCATCTGTTAAGGGTTTGTTTTGTTGACTGCCGCAAGCTAGACTTACAGCAATACTGTTTTTGTTATCCAACATATTACTGGTCTCAAACGCAAAATGTCATTGTCCTTTTATTGGCCCAATTTCTTTTTTTCTTCATAAATTCACCCACACCCATAGCATGTTTGCATGGTTTTTCCACTGATTTTTTTTTATTTTTTTTGCACACCTTTTACTTTCCCCTCTTTTCACAGTCCCAAAGCAGATGACTTATCTACTGCAATTCTCAAGCAGAAAAACCGGCCCAACAGGTTGATTGTTGATGAAGCCATCAATGAGGACAACAGTGTGGTGTCCCTGTCTCAGGTAAAATTATTGTAAAATTTGCAAAATGTGGGGTATTTAACTCTTAACAGTGTATGTTTGAAACTCCAGTTAAAGTATTGTTTTTTTAAAATCCTGTCGACCTTCCAATTGTGACTCATCTTATAGGGCAAGATGGATGAGCTCCAGTTGTTTAGAGGAGACACCGTTCTCTTGAAGGGTAAGAAGAGACGAGAAGCTGTTTGCATTGTCCTGTCAGATGACACCTGCTCAGATGAGAAGATCCGTATGAACAGAGTTGTTCGTAATAACCTGAGAGTGCGACTTGGAGATGTGATCAGGTATGCTGCTCTCGTTAACAATTTTGGTGCTTTGCTATCCAAAATATGAAAGTCACAAATTTTGATAATCTTTGACTATTCGAAAAGGGAAACACGCCTCCAGATTCATAGTAAAAAACAAAACGCACCTGCACTGAAAGGTTTAATGTTCTTAAAATGGTAAAATATTAAACTCAATCCGTGTTGTGTAGAATGTTTCCTTACCAGAATGGTGTACTGCCCACAAGCTGTGCTGAAGGGAAACTCTAAAGAACAAGAACTAGTAGAACTAAATTACGCTTTAATGGTTATGGTCCCATGAGAGCTTTATCACTCCTTAACTCGCCATGAGAGTACTGAAACCATTTGCACCAGTCCCTGTCTATGGGAGCTGAAAGCTTGGCCTTAGTGAAGCCCAGTTTTCAGCTGATTCTTCCAGCCAATGAGCTGACCTTCGCTTTGGATAACTAACAGAAGCTCCTAGGATGAACTTCTCGCCCTACACAGCAAATTGGTCAAAATGTTGGTAAACTACTTTTCATGGGAGGAGCAACAGGACTCTCCTGGTACCATAACTCCTACAGTGTACTGTAGTGATTATGATGCTTGGTGTGTTCCTTTTACTATAGTAGTTTAAGTGCAAAGAGCGATCCTTGCAGTCTCATATGTGTTTACATTTGTACCTGGAAACACCTCTAATGACTTTGAGTGGCATCAAAGTCACTAGAGTTGCTTCCTCCTATTGTCCTGCAGTATATGCTATATTGACATTTGGCATCCTCCACATGAATAAACTGTATGCTCCCTTTTTGATGTGACGTTGAATGACTGGCGCAGTGTGGCTTTTGGCGCCTATGCCCAGTAGGTGCTGCTCTATGAAGATGCTTTGAATTGGCTGAGATTGTCACTAAAGATCTCAGCCAGAGGCAGAGTAGTAGCTGTGGCAGGACTGGCATGAGATGAAAGGAAAGTTGTTAAGTCTTGTTATGCTTCTCTTATAGTTTGGCCTGTAAATCTGAAGAGGCAGGAATAAACACATGTGTTAGAAAGAAATGTCTGTGTTTCCTTTTAAGTTGTAATGTGTACTGGAACAAAGCAAAGATATGTGTAAATTGTACAGGCGCATATAATTATAATTCAAAATAGGTATTAGCAGCCTAAGCACTATATGGGTACTCCTATTATTCCCCACAAATTAAACCGCAAACAACACACTGATTGTTTAAGGGTTTGGGTGTTATCCCTCTCCCTTATGTGGAATAGAACAGTGTAAAGTGCAGCGCTAATAAAAAGAAAAAAAACTATATACAAAAACCAGTTGCAGCTTAGCCTTATGTTAGTACAGCATAGGTAGTCATATATACATAAAAGGGACAGAAAAAAACATATAATAGGGGAAATATTGTTAAGGTGAGTATTTCACAGTTTTTTGTGGGTTTTTTTTGTCCTCTTTTATGTATGCTGTACTAACCTAAGGGGTAAGTTGCTACTGTTTTTTTGTATATAGTGTTTTTTTTTTATCGCTGCACTTTACATGGTTCATGTATTCCATGTAAGGGAGAGGGCTAACACCCAAACCCTTAAACAATCACTGTATGTTGTTTTCTGTAATGTGTACTGTATCCATTTGCAAAAATACCTGCTTGAAACTCCTGGCCCTGCAATGCACCTCACCTCTGTAATACACACATCATGATTTACATTTACAAAGATAATAAACCAATGAAATCCTATCTGCTTGATACCTCAAAGAATTATTTGTAATTTTATTATATCATGATATATTGCAGTGTATTTAATTAGATTTACTATTTTACTTAGTTATTTTTTAAAAAAATTTTTTATAGCATCCAGGCCTGCCCAGATGTGAAGTATGGCAAACGAATCCATGTTTTACCCATAGATGACACTGTGGAAGGAATCACTGGCAATCTGTTTGAGGTGTATCTTAAGCCTTATTTCCTGGAAGCTTACCGACCTATCCGAAAAGGTATTCAGCAAATTGCTATCACTCCTCATGCCTGCATTATGTTTAACACATGCTAAGAATTCTGACTTGCAAATGGTTTTTATTTAATTTTTTTTTTTTTTTTGAGGACAGACTCCTGTATTAAGGCATAAAAATGTATGCTGCTTACACATTTAATTTGTGCCTATAAACTGAAAATTTTGCCTATAATCTGTTTTGGCTTGATTTTTTTTTTGATTTTTTTTATTTTACACCGTAATCCAAGGCTTTTCAAAGCAAAGCTGCTATGTCTCCATGGCAACTTAGAAATTGGACCTGGAGTCCAGAATACTGCCTTCTGTGCAATGTGGTACTTAGCTTCTAGATTTCACGGAGATGTGTTAAGTCCTGCAGTGAATTAAATTAGACTATTTGGATTTTGGGAATTCCCTTGTAGCATGACTGATCTCCTTGGAACTGCCTTATTTTATAGCCTTTCATATAGTTTCCTTTTGTCAACACAGAACATTGATTTTTGAAGTCAGGCCGGGTGGGTTTTACTTTTTTTAATATAAAACCTGTTAATATAGCCAACTAGTCTGAGTTGAGCTGCTTAGCCTTACTTTATAGGAGAGAAAGGCCAGTGTTTGAACTTACTCTTTGGAAAAAGCACTTGTAATGAAGAAGCGTTCTACTAAGAAATCTTCCATATCTTCTTTTATTTTTTTCAATCTAATAAAATACAAAAGGAGATTGCTGGCTATATGTCATTTCGTTTTGTAATTGTGTTGAAGGGCCAAGGATTCAGCCCAAATTTTTATGACTCCTTTCGTTTTAAGTCTGAATAATGTATACCTAGATGTGCTCTTGAAGGTTAACTAACTAATCAGGAGGAGATTGTCTTTTTGCACAGGTGACATCTTTTTGGTGCGTGGAGGAATGCGTGCCGTGGAATTCAAGGTTGTGGAGACAGATCCAAGCCCGTACTGCATAGTGGCTCCAGATACTGTAATTCACTGTGAAGGAGAGCCTATTAAACGTGAGGTATGAATGATGATCAGCTATCCCGAAGCCAAACACCTAGATAATTTGTGTAACACATGTTGGTTCTAATCACTGCTTTCCAATTCATAGGATGAAGAGGAGTCCCTGAATGAAGTGGGTTATGATGATATTGGTGGTTGCAGGAAGCAGTTGGCTCAGATCAAGGAGATGGTAGAGCTGCCTTTGAGACACCCAGCGCTTTTCAAAGCTATTGGTGTTAAGGTAATGTATTGCATTTCTAATCTGCAAAATTCTGTCTGTAAATAAAATCTGGAGTCTTGTATTAACCACAAACCCGTCAGAACATGGCCAAGTCATTTGTGTTTAGAGGGTTTTTATAAAATATATATTTTTATTAAAAGCATAGAGACTCTTTAATGTGTGAACTAGTCTTTCCCCATATGGCTGTCATGTACAATGTCTCGTAATTTACAGATACCACAATAAAGATTATCCATGCTTACTTTGCAACGTCTGTCAGATTTTTATGTTAATAGAAAAACATAGGGCCATGTACCTGGAGAAATAAATGAAGTGTAAACAAAACATACAAAGTGTATTTTTGGTTAGTGTTGATGTTTGTTGGTCTGTAACATAGCATGGTTTTTCTTTTAGTACTCGAACCTATGATGTGTACAAAATATCGGAATGTATAATTACAGGAAGTTTAAGGAACAGTACTTCTATTTCACCATACTCTTACATTGTTGTGTTGCTGTTGTGGATTCTTTATGTAGACATTGAGATAGTCAAGCTCTCATGTTATCACTTTAACCCCTTAAAACAGGAGGGTGTACTATTACGCCCTATTCTAAGCGGCTCTAAGCGCCGCAGGGCGTAATAGTACGCCGTCACGGTTTTTGTTACTTACCCGGTCGCCAGCGATGGCGGTCGGGGGATTCACCTGGGATCATAGGGAAAGTGACGTTATTTGCATTTTTCACACACAAACCGCACTTACACGGAAGATATTATTGCTGTGATACTTTTTACTGTTTTGAAACACTAATATTTGTGTTCAGCGAAGTCTCCCGAGTACAACAGTACCCCTCATGTACAGGTTTTATGGTGTTTTCAAAAGTTGCAGCGTCAAATATAAGGCTTGTTTCATTTTTTCACATTAAAATTCGCCAGATTGGTTACATTGCTTTTGAGACACTATGGTAGCCCTGAATGAAAATAACCCTTGTGATGGCATACCATTTGCAATAGTAGACAACCCAAGGTATTGCAAATTGGGTATGTCCAGTCTTTTTTGGTAGCCACTTAGTCACAAACACTGGCCAAAATTGGCGTTTTTTTGCATTTTTCACACACACAAACAAATATTAACGCTAACTTTGGCCAGTGTTTGTGACCAAATGGCTACTGAAAAAGACTGGACATACCCCATTTGCAATACCTTGGGTTGTCTACTATTGCAAATGGTATGCCATTATGGGTGTAAATTTCATTCCTGGGCTATTATACAGTCTCAAAGGCAACGTAACCAATCTGGGGAATTTCAATTTCAAATATAACGTGCTATATTTGACCCTGTAACTTCCCAAAACACCATAAACCCTGTACATAGGGGGTACTGTTTTACATGTGAGACTTTGCTGAATACAAATATGTGTATTTTATTGCAGTAAAAGAAAACAGTATTATGACATTGACCGTTAAAATGTCATGTAGAACTAAAAAAATAACATTCTTATTTTCTTCCATTTTTTTCATATTCAAATTATGTTTTATAGCTAAATATTTGATATTAAATGAAAGCCCTGTTTTCCCTGAATAAAATATGTATTAAGTGTGGATGCATTTAATATGAAAGAAGTGAATTACGGTTGGACAGACATGTAGCGCAAATGCCAGGTTTTGTTCACAACGTGTACATTTGGCTCAGTCCTTAAGGGGTTAAATATTTGTCTGAAATTTGACCAGCCTGGGTTTTTGTTTCACAAATGGCACATTGCTAGGGTAAAGCACTGTGACATATGTAGCTATTTAATATAATTTCACTGATTATCTTTCTTTAACGTGCAGCCTCCTCGTGGTATTTTGCTGTATGGACCACCAGGAACTGGAAAAACTCTTATTGCTCGTGCTGTTGCTAATGAAACTGGAGCATTTTTCTTTCTGATCAATGGTAAGCATTCCACATAATTCTACTAATTCCCATGTGGATTACATTCCATAGAGTCTCCTTTAACACAATGAGTACAGCCTATTTACTATTTTACCAGCAGCACAATGACAGCAGGTGTACATCACACTACAGAGCATTGCATCAGTTTTTGTTCACCAGCAGGCTAAAGTAAAACTGGAATTTTGAATGGAAATGTTTTACATGGGTGTTTTGATCTTAACCCTTTAAGGACCAAACTTCTGGAATAAAAGGGAATCATGACATGTCACACATGTCATGTGTCCTTAAAGGGGTTAATAAACATCTACCATTGTGTCTGATTTATCAAAGACATACGTTGTGAGAAGAGCATGATACATAGATTCGTTCTGCATTTCTCTGCCCTGCGAGCCGTATAATGTCCTGTGTATTCTGTATGCTCTGCATAAGAACCAGAGTGAAATGTCTCTCACGGGATTGGATTAATGCTGAAATGCAAGGGATAACAGAAAAGTTCTATGATGCCTTTTCTAGAAGTTATTTTGACAACTTCTGTAAACTTCTGGGGGAGGGGAGGGGGATGTATTCTGACAGCAGTTAATTTTTATCCTTCAAAATACTGCTTGTTCCAAATATATGTGCAAATTATGAGACTTCCAGTTTCCTGTGCAAAAGAGCTTTTCTTTTGTGAATTACACATGAAAATCTGAGCTTAGAAATCTTTTGGTTTATTGCTCCTTTGACAGGCAAGGTTATGATGAGATATGAAAGTAAGGTAGCTGCTCCTAATAGGCTCTGCTTGGATTGGATTCTTCCATGAACGTCCCAGTGAAACAAACTTCTTATATTTTGCATAACATTGGGGTATGATTCATTCTATTGTTCCATGTTGGATTCCCATTTAAAATATAGGATCTATTATTTTTGTTCCCTTAATGATGCATCTTCTTGTAACGCATTTCCTGCCTTTAAAAATCGTCCTTTAAATCCCCCGTTCGCTCCAGGTCCTGAGATTATGAGCAAGTTGGCTGGTGAATCTGAGAGCAATCTGCGTAAAGCCTTTGAGGAAGCCGAGAAAAATGCCCCTGCTATTATCTTTATAGATGAGTTGGATGCCATAGCCCCAAAGAGAGAGAAGGTCAGTGCAATGATGACACTTCATCAGATTTTTAAAAATCTTGGTATTCTTTTGCTAAATATTAACATTTTTAATTTTTTTTAAACTATCTTTTGAAACTTCTCTAACTGCATGAAAAGTAAATTTGTGAGGTTAGAAATAAAAATGGTCTTCGTCATTATTTGCTGTAGCTATCTACTAAATATCTATTAAAACAATATTTAGCACCATTTAATGGCATAGATTTTTTACAAAACATATATTTAGCAACCATGTATTTGTGAGCTATGAAAAAACACTACTTGGCTGTAGAAATCCACACCTTTTGTAGCCTGCAACTGGGTTTTCTCCATCTTAGATCCCTGTCAATCATTGCTATAAGCTCTTTCTTTTGCACCTGGCAGTCAGCATAGAGAAAAAGCGAAATATGACCATTTTTCCATTTGCAACGTTTACCCATGGTTTTACTTTGTCTGAGCTTGATAAGGATGTAATTTTGGAAATATTTCAAATATCACATCTCATGAAAACAGAAGGTATATTGGTAAACTAGTTATAGGTGACTTTCAAAGTTTTATTCAAAGTTGTGGATTCCAGAGATGTTCCCATTTAAGGACTGATGACCAAATCATTCTGTCATAACAAAGCGTCTGTGACAGACTGCCTGCCACCCCGACTGGGTGCCTCCGTCAATCTATGCTTCCTAGTATCCCTGAGTACTTCCAAGCACTCCACCAGACGCCGTAGACCCTTGGCCACCGCAGTTTGGCTGGGGTCTCGCTATCCTCCACTCACCCTGGACCCAAGTCAAGGATCTAGCTTCCATTAGGTAGCCTCTCCTCTTACAGAGAGTATAGCAGGAAAGCTCTTACAAGAGCAAGTGATATAGCTGGTATTGCTGTTCCCTACAAGCACGAGACGAGGCTCTGTGTTGAGGGTGAAGTAGAACTGTTTAATGGCAGCCACAACTGGCCTTATATGCAAGTCCCCATGCAACATATTACAGGGGCATTCCCCACTGGGTCTGATGTACACACAAATAGCGATTTTCTTTCATTTTATTTGGTCTGTGGAGTGTCCTTTTAAAGAGTTGCATTCTTGAAACTATTAATGGTTTGGTGTACCTAAAACATGGTTTACAATTGTGTATCATACATATTTTATCTAAACATGTAAATTGAGATGTTTAGTTAGAATTTTTTAACGTTCAAAGTTCTTTAGGCTGCTGTAGAGAATGACTGACTGACTGACTGACTGAGAGATTGGGATGTACTCTGTTAACTAACTTAAGCCACGTATTTTGCTGATTTTAATATTGTCTGTTTTTGTAGACACACGGAGAGGTTGAACGCCGCATTGTGTCACAGCTGCTAACCCTAATGGATGGGCTTAAACAGAGGGCGCATGTCATTGTCATGGCTGCTACAAACAGACCCAACAGCATTGATCCTGCACTTAGACGATTTGGTGAGCCTTCTATCCTTCTCCTTTTTTTCACATCTCCCCCAGTGATGTCCTTAGTGGCCTACTAATACTATTCTGTAATGTGGTCATTTATTTTGCAAAGTTTTCTTTTGTTTACATTATGAAATTTTTCTTTGCCCCTTCAGGTCGTTTTGACAGGGAAGTTGACATTGGGATCCCTGATGCCACTGGTAGACTGGAAATTTTACAGATTCACACAAAGAACATGAAGTTGGCCGATGATGTTGATCTAGAACAGGTTGGTTTAAATCTCACATCTACCAGTTGATCAATCTACAGTTAGCATATATTATGCCAGCAGGGGGCAGTGTGGTACCACTGTAGAAGCATTGGTACATCTTTTTAGAATTACCTGAGTGTTTTGTTCTCTTGACCTGAAAACTTACTTAATCCTAGAAAACTGCTAATGTAACAATGTCTCTGTTTTATATGCATAGAGATGAGAGGCCTATTATTTGAATAGATTGCTCTATATTGTGTATAACCCCTGGTGTTTGCTTTGAATGTATGTATATAAAACGAGTATGCTTTAAGAACGTTGGAAGACAGGTCCACAATGCATTGTCATGGTTGGATCTTGATCTTTTCTGCATGTTTTAATTTCTGCATTCAAATTTATTCATGTTCTCTGTTTTAATGTAAGTGGTCGTTTCTATTGTCTGTTTAGGTTGCCAATGAAACACATGGTCATGTGGGAGCTGATTTGGCTGCTCTATGCTCAGAGGCAGCTCTCCAGGCCATAAGGAAGAAGATGGACCTGATTGATCTGGAGGATGAAACTATAGATGCTGAAGTGATGAATTCTCTTGCTGTCACTATGGATGACTTCAGGGTAGGTACATTTTGGGAATACCAGCTAAATGATGAGCTTAGGATCTTCAATTATTGCATGTAACGGATATTCATGAAACTGAGCGCAATGTGGTGCTCCGAGGATTTAACCCGAACAATCAGTAGTAGATGTCAGTAGTGACCTGCTGAGGGCATTGGTACAAGCTGCATGAACACTATGTGATATTTATTTTCCTGTTCGTCTTCCTTCTGCTCTATCGCAGACTATGCATTTGGATGTTTTTAAAGGGACACTATAGTCACCAGAACAACTATAGCCCAATGTAGTTGTTCTGGTGAGTATAATCATTGCCTTCAGGCATTTTCATGCAAACACTGCCTTTTCAGAGAAAAGTCAGTATTTACATTCCCCCTAGGGACACCACCAAGTGGCCACTCCTCAGATGGCCATTGGAGGTGCTTCCTTGGGTAGTGCTGCAGTGCTGATTGGCCAAAATGTTTGGCCACGCCCACCTCCTTGCCAATTTTAGCCAACCCAATGCTTTCCCTGTGGGAAAGCATTGGATTGGCTAAAAATCTGCCATTCTCATGTCATCAAGGAGGCGGATCAAGGGTGGGGCCAGCACCGGAGGACCAGTGCTTTGCTGGAAATAAGGTGTTTAAATTCCTTTTAAAGAGGCCAGCTAAATTGTGGGTTTAATACTATAGTGTCAGGAATACATGTTTGTGTTCCTGACCCTATAGTGTTTCTTTAAGCTATTTGTCATTGGTATTTGATATAATCACCATTGACATACATAAACTTATTGAGGCTATTTTGAATGAAGCGGCTGATGGTCAATGAATAGTAGATTTTATGACCAAATGCATTATATTTTAAGCATTAAAACATATGGTTATCTGGTAACTTTGCTACACTTCCAATTTTTTTTATTTTTTTTTTTTATTGCCTGAAAATGTTTTCTGAAAATCTTTAGTGCTCTTGGTTTGTTGTGCTCACAACTGCTGCAAAGTTTCAAAGTTCTTGCCTTTGTGTTTTTTATATACAGCTGTTTATTGATAAATGTGTTATTTTCCCTGACAGTGGGCATTAAGTCAGAGTAACCCCTCTGCTCTGCGTGAGACTGTTGTAGAAGTGCCACAGGTTACCTGGGAAGACATTGGTGGTCTGGAAGACGTGAAGCGAGAACTTCAGGAGTTGGTGCAGGTGAGTCTGCTACTATTCTCCCAATGCTCCTTATTACTGAACTTGATCTTCCTTGGGCAGGATTTTACTGAAGGATTAATTGGGCATCCTTGTGTAGTCTAAGTGGATCGTGATCAGCCGCAAGTATTCTTTCAACAGATTTGTTCTTTTTAAGCCATTCTCATTCTAAGGAGACTGACATATCCAGAAATCTGTGTTATCTCATTTCTGCTAACTTAAGAGAACTTGCTCAAGGAAGAAATTTGTATTTCGGGGGGTGAAGTCAAATATTTCCTTTACAACACTTACCCTCTCACAAAAGAGGTATTTTGTTCATCAATGCTTTCTTTGCATTTTGCTTCATCCTTCTAAAATATCACCCTTTTATTCTAGTACCCTGTGGAGCACCCTGAGAAGTTCTTGAAATTTGGAATGACCCCATCAAAAGGTGTGCTTTTCTATGGGCCACCTGGATGTGGTAAGACTCTGTTGGCCAAGGCCATTGCCAACGAATGCCAGGCAAACTTTATCTCCATCAAGGGTCCTGAGCTGCTCACCATGTGGTTTGGAGAGTCTGAAGCAAATGTTAGAGAGATCTTCGATAAGGTAAGAGGTTTATTCTCAGTGTTTTATTACGTAAGGTAAAAAGGGGCTCTATTCAGCAGATTAAGCACCAAAACCACTACATCTTGATGCCACTGCATTCCGATTAAATGTAAGTATTGCTGTTTCTAATAAACTGCAATGTTTACAATTGTCAGTCAATGTGCCTCTAGTTCACAAAATTAATAACGGAACAGCAACACCAGAATAAACAACAAAACAGTTTTTGACCCAAATAGGACTTTTGTCAAGCCTAAGTCTGAGTAAGATACCACATTGTTTAAACAGTGTATAATTAACAATCACCATGCAAAGGTGGACTTGCACATAAGTGATCAAATTGCCACACATAGGAGAATAATCCAGTGACGTTGGGTGCCTCTGGATTACCTCATATAGGAAACAATATTAAATGTCAAACATAAAAGAAAGGGTACAAGAAAAACCTGTTATTAGTGAATGTTGTTTTTATTTATTTTGTACATTCTATATATCTTTCTTAAAGTAATGCAATAACACAGAGCATAATTTACATTTGATTTGCAAGTCCACCTTTTTGTAGTGATTTCTAATCAAACACTTAAGCGATGTGTTCCTCAGACTTGGGTATGACAAAGTTTCTGAAATGTAGCCACGTCCACATTGATGTAATAAAGCAAATTTTGTTTTGTGCATTTGGAGGAATATTGGGGATACCTTTTTGGATGTTGTGTTACAGAGTGCTATCTCTGTCACTTTGTAATACTTGAGTGTACCTCTAGCGATCTTCAACTACAGGTATTTGCTAGAATAAAGTGCATGATGACACAAAATGGTTATCATTATTCTCCTAAAGATGCATTCTGGATGAGAAGCATGCGATTATTGCAGTGCAATGATTGCCATGCTTTGTGCTATAGGATCCAATGCTTCTCTGTGAGAAGCATTAGACCACCCGACATGATTCACTGCTGATCTCACAGCTGGCAGAGTGGAACCTTCTGCTGTGTGTTTGAGACCGTGCAGACAAAAGTGCATAGTTGTTAAAAGAAGTACTCTTTATTAACCCCTAAAGGATTGGAGGCACTTGTCCAAATTTTGAACAAAAACATGAATTTTAACCCCTAAAACAGTGTTAACCCTAACTCATCATAAATCATTACCTAACCATAAGCCAAGAACTAACCTTAAGAAAAACACTCTGCCAATATCTGTGCTGATATCCGCAGATGAGTTTCAAAGCTAAAATGTAAGCTCGATTGAGCAGGGTCCTCTTCAACCTATTGTTCCTGTAAGTTTATTTGTAATTGTCCTATTTATAGTTAAATCCCCTTTCATAATATTGTAAAGTGCTACGGAATCTGTTGGCGCTATATAAATGGCAATAATAATAATAATAATAATAATAAAACATTAGAGCGGTATGTTGGTGCCATCTACTGGCTGTTTTCAGCATTACAAGCATATTTCTGTAATGTTTAAAGGGAAACTCCAGGTCCCCTCTCCCTCCCACCACCCAATCCCCGGTTGCTGAAGGGGTGAAAACCCCTTCAGTAACTTACCTGAGGTAGCGATGATGTCCCATGTCGCTGCTTCCGCCGCCGTTCCTCTTCTGCATTGCGTTGGCAGAGACTGATCCCGCCCACCGGCCGGGGAGACCTAATGTGCATGCGCAGCAATGCTGTGCATGCGCATTAGCGCTCTCCATAGGAAAGCATTGAAAATGCTTTCCTATGGGGAAATGAGCGACACTGGAGGTCCTCACACAGCGTGAGGATGTCCAGTGATGCTCTAGCACAGGTTTCCTGTGCTAGAAACCAGGAAGTGCCCTCTAGTGGCTGTCTAGCAGACAGCCACTAGAGGAGTTAACCCTGCAATGTAATTATTGCAGTTTATAAAAAAAAACTACAAAAAAAACTGCAATAATTTAAAATTGCAGGGTTAAGAGTAGTGGGAGTTGGCACCCAGACCACTCCAATGGGCAGAAGTGGTCTGGGTGCCTGGAGTGTCCCTTTAAAGCAGGCATGCTGATTACACTGTGCTTGATGCTGGGCTGCTGGTAATTCGATATGGGGACATGCTGTCAGTCTATCCGTTTGTCTAGACCTTGGACTCTCCTTTGTGCATCTGGCAGCCCAGAAACAGTGGCTGAGTGCAGGCTGCTCAGCCGCAATATTCTCAAAGGGCTGGATCCAGAGCTCACTTTGAGCGCTCCATGCAGCTCATCCGTTAGCCTGGAGACTAATAAATGTGGCCCCAGGTATGGATTGATACCTGGGACTGCCATATGTGAGCAGAAATTTTAACTCTGCTCATACCACATTGCAGTAGTAGGCATTTAAATGCCAATTTCAATGGCTGTAGCAGCTTTTAATTAAAGTGCTGCATACGGAGCATCTGTCAGTCCAAGGCAGCTTAAAATGGCCCCAGCTGACAGAGGAAAGCCCCAGACATATTGTTTATCCAGTTTATTTCCTAGGCAGTAACTTCTGATTTAGTGGAGAATGTGATTTATTGATAATGTATTACATGGTAGCACTGTCTCTCCAGCTTTTAATGTACACTATTCATTGTGTAACACTTAGAGTGTGTTCATAAATTGACTATGCCTGCAGTTGCAATGGTTTTAGAACTGGAGAACAGGGTTTACATTTTGTAACCATGTTTTCTTTTTAGGCAGACCTAAATTAGGATGCTTTAGTCGGCTTTCTAATTTATTTAAAACTTCATAAATTCTTATGTTACCAGAACATTTTGTGGAACTCTATATAATGAAACAGAATGTGTTAGTTTCTAAATGGCAACCTGATTAAGAATGATTTAATTTTTTATTGCATTGTTCTAAAGAATTCATGCCATTATCTCTGTCTTGACTCACAGGCTAGACAGGCTGCTCCCTGTGTACTCTTCTTTGATGAGTTGGACTCAATAGCCAAGGCACGAGGTGGCAACATTGGAGATGGTGGCGGTGCTGCAGACAGAGTTATCAACCAAATCCTGACAGAAATGGATGGCATGTCTACAAAGAAGAATGTCTTCATCATTGGAGCCACCAACAGACCTGACATCATTGACCCCGCCATTCTGCGTCCTGGTCGTCTGGATCAGCTAATCTACATCCCTCTGCCAGATGAGAAGTCCCGTATGGCTATCCTGAAGGCAAACCTGAGGAAGTCTCCGGTTGCCAAGGTAAGAGTTTGAGATCTTTGCATGTTCCAAGTAATGTTTGGTTGGTGTTAGCTTTTTTTTAGGAGGCTTTATCTTTGTTTTATTTGGGGTTTTCAGTCTTTTACTTAGTATAGTGTAGTTCATTGATACAGCTGATTATCCTTCATAATCCTTCAAACACTCATTGGTTGATAACTGTTTTAGTTAAATAGATGTTTAAAATTTGCTGTAGCAGTCTAGCATTAATATTTTATTCATCTTACGTATATTTTAGGGAGAGGTATTAGCAGTAGAAAGAGGGAAGTGCTCATGTCATTGTACAGAACACTGGTGAGACCTCACTTGGAGTATTGTACACAGTACTGGAGACCGTATCTTCAGAAGGATATTGATACCTTAGAGAGGGCTCAGAGAAGGGCTACTAAACTGGTTCATGGATTGCGGGATAAAACTTACCAGGAAAGGTTAAAGGATCTCAACATGTATAGCTTGGAGGAAAGACGAGACAGGGGGGATATGATAGAAACATTTAAATATATAAAGGGAATCAACACAGTAAAGGAGGAGACTATATTTAAAAGAAGAAAAACTACCACAACTAGAGGACATAGTCTTAAATTAGAGGGACAAAGGTTTAAAAATAATATCAGGATAGTATTACTTTACTGAGAGGGTAGTGGATGCATGGAATAGCCTTCAAGCTGAAGTGGTAGAGGTTAACACAGTAAAGGAGTTTAAGCATGCGTGGGATAGGCATAAGGCTATCCTAACTATAAGATAAGACTATGGACTAATGAAAGTATTTAGAAAATTGGGCAGAGTAGATGGGCCGAATGGTTCTTATCTGCCGTCACATTCTATGTTTCTATTTTGGAACAAAAATATTAGATTTTTATTAATTTTTTTTTAAATTAATTTCCCATGTTCATTTTTTTTTTTTTTTTTCTTCTAGGATGTTGACATTGACTTCCTGGCCAAGATGACAAATGGCTTCTCTGGTGCCGATCTTACGGAGATCTGTCAACGTGCCTGCAAGCTAGCCATCCGTGAATCCATTGAAAATGAGATAAAAAGGGAGCGTGAGAGGCAAACTAACCCATCAGCTATGGTATGATCCTTTACTGTTCATTGTGCTTGTCTGCTATGATCATAGTGAGGTCTAAGGAGATCATGAGATACTTTAATGCTTTGATTTGTCCTGGGCCATTTTTACACCCAGTTTCAAACTTCACATTTGTAGGCATTAAACTCTAATAAGAATTTAGATGAGCATGTTGATATGGAAAACATGGCTCTGAATTGTTTTTTTTTTTTTTTATCTGGATGTTCTTTGCCCATTGTCAGTCACTGCAACTGTTCAGTACTGCTCAAGACTGTAATGTCGTGTGCGGGTGTTTTCTATAGACTAGTCCATTTGCTCTGTCTTCTCTTGTTTTAAGGTCTAGACCAGGCGCAGGAAACCTTCAACACTTCAGATGTTGCGGACTGCATCTTCCGCAATACTCTTATAGTAAATTTGCTGGCAAAGCATCAGGGGGATGTAGTCCACAACACCTGGAGTGTCAGAGGCTGCCTACCCTTGGTCTAGACCAAGCCACCTCAAATGTTGCCACAACCACATTGACTGTAGGTCTGTAATAGGTTGAATGCAGTCCTTGACCATTTCTGTGTTAAATGACCTATTGGGCGCTATGGAAAAGTGTACATTAAGGAATACATAATACAGATTAAGGAACAGTGCACAAATATTTAAACAAAGTAAATCTTATCAGGCTTCTTAAAATCACCTATTTCGGCAAACAAATATGGGAATTCAGTTCCGCCATATTGGGTTAAGCCCACCACTACTTCACAGAACCCCAATATTGATGTGTCCTATGCTAATTTCAAACGTGTAATTTTGCATTATATATGTATACTCACTATGCTCTTACAATAGATTAGATAGCTTATTTAGCACTATTCACTTTGTCTCCCACATTTAATTTAGTGTAGGACCCACCGATATTGGGTATTTTGAAGTAGTGGTGGGTTTAACACAATATGGCCATATGATGGGACCAAATCACCATATTGGCTTGCTGAGAGAGGTGATTTTACGTTGCCGTATAATATTTAAAAATGTATTTTTATGTGTGCGCTGTAACTAAATCTGTATTATGTATGAATTTTGGCCACTGCAGCAGCACCATTCCTGCAAAATGCATGTTAAAGGTGTGCCCCCTATTACTTTTTGTCTTTGCAATTAAAACTAGTAAGTCATTTTAGCTAGAATTATGATCTATATGTGATACATGGTTCCCTGTAAGGCTGAGTAAATGAGATGATTATAAGCCATTTATAAAGTTAAGTAAATGTGCCTTGATGCATAAAAGGTCCTGATGTGCAGCTATAGACTGCAGTCCTTTTGCTCTGAGGCTGCTTCTTTTTTTTATCAATTCTTTATTTTTGCATTGACAGACATTGAAGGTGAGAGCATTTTTGGCTTACGCAGAAGCCCATCTTTTCAAATATGCTTTAGTCATGTTACAGAAAAAAAACTGGGTTGTTAGTATACATAATATACATTTTAGACATGTTGCATGTGGGTTGCGCAGAGGCTGTTGTCATTTAGCTTTCGCCTGTCAAAGGTTTTTATTTATTCGTTGTATGCACAAAGAAAAACATATATATAAGCAAAACGATCAAGTGAAAGTAGGTGTTAAATCCTAAATCTGCACGAGTGAGTAGCTGTCTGTGAGTGGGTGCTCATTTGTCTTATGATTTTTCCTCATATTGTTCCCAAAGGGCCCATACCTTTTGAAATGTGGTGGTAGTGTTCCGAACGGTAGCTGTCATCTTGTCCATTAAGTAATTATCTCTGATTTTGGAGATTACTAATGAAAGTGGGGGTGTCTCTGGTTTTATCCAGTATTGTGCCAGTGCCCTACGAGCTGCTAGATTGAGCATATTCAGAAGTTTTTGGTCGTGTTTGTCTAGTCCGTTTGTCGGTCGTGATAATAGACATGCCCAGGGGTCCAGTGTTATTTGTCGGTGTAGGATTTTAGTGTGCATGGCCACTATCTTTTCCCAAAACTCTTTTACTTTAGTCCACCACATGTGGATGTATGTGCCTTTTTCTCCACATAGTCGCCAACAGGTATCGGTGGGGCAGAGTTGCATGTGTTGTTGCTTGACTGGTGTTGTATACCACCGAAGCATTATTTTATATGATTGTTCCTGTAAGGTCGTGCATATAGACACTTTTGTGTTCGCCTCCCATATGTCTTGCCACTCCGTTCCCTCTAGTGTTTCACCCAGATCCGCTTCCCATTTGTCTGTGTATGTCTGCGGGCCCCACGTGCCTGATTCTAGGCATATGTGGTTGTAGAGCAGAGAGATTAGTTTCGCTGGCATGCTTTCTTTGAGGCAGATTTGCTCAAAGAAGGTTAGAGGCTTGGCAATTGCCATTTTGACCTCATTGGTTTGCGCAAAGTCCCGTAATTGTATATATCGGAAGAAGTCGCGGGTTTGTAATGGGGCTAAGGTTTGCAAGTGTTGGTATGTCACTAGTTGGTTATCTACGTATAGGTGGATATAGCGTTGTAGGTTCGTGGCTTCGATGCCTTTAAAGTCTCGTGCCCTTAGGCCCGGTGGGAATGCTCTGTTACGTAGTACTGGGGTCATTGGGGACGGGAGGTGTGTGAGTTTGAATTTCTGCGCGATCTGGTCCCATAAGCTAATGGAGTTTAGGATGGCCGGGCAGTCTGTCCGTAAGATTGTTCTGTGATGCTTCGGTGTCCATATGAGGAATTGCGGGAGGTCTGCTCCTGTCATGTGGGATTCTATGTCAACCCAACGGCGTTGATTTTTGGGGCAGTGCCAGTGAGCTATTTGGGCAACTTGGGCTGCGGTATAGTAATGGTGGAGGTGGGGCATACCCAGGCCTCCTCTCCCCTTGGGGTTATACAGTATTTTTTTGGCTATTCTTGGCCGCTTTCTCTGCCAGATAAAGGCGTCTATTGCTTGTTGTAGGCCAGCTAGGTCACTCTTGGTCACTCGAGTCGGGAGCGCTTGGAATAAGAACAGCAGTCTTGGCAATAGGTTCATTTTTATGGAGTGTAGGCGACCTAGCCATGTGATGGGTTTGTCTGTCCAAATTTCTAAGTCCGTCTTGAGTTTTGTGATCAGTGGAGTGTAATTATGTTTAAATAGTGTGTTGTGATCTGCTGTGAGTCTGACGCCTAGATACGTGAGTGTGTCTGTGTTGGTTTTGATATGATAGGTGTGTCTGATGTGTTGTGCCTCCCGGTCAGATATATGGAATGTCAGTGCCGTCGACTTGGTTTGGTTGACTTTGTATCCTGATACTTCACCGTATGTCTGCAGTAGCTTTTCTAGATTTGCCATCGATTGGGTTGGGTCTGTGAGTGTTAGGAGTATATCATCTGCATATGCAGCTACTTTGAAGTGTTCATCTCCCAAGTGCACTCCTTTTATGTTTGGGTTTGCTCGTATGAGGTGTAGGAGTGGCTCTATCACTAAAGCAAAGAGGAGTGGTGACAGGGGGCAGCCCTGTCTTGTTCCATTGCTCACTTGGAATGGGGATTTTGGCGCTCCTGTAATTATGGTTTGTGCTTGCAGGTTTGTGTATAGGGCCTTTATTGCCGTGATCTAGGGTTCCGGGAAGCCTTGAGTTTGAAGTACTGTGACCAGAAAAGGCCATTGTACCCTATCGAAGGCCTTTTCCGCGTCGAGGGAGAGGACAAGGGCAGGCTGTCTAGTGTGTGATATATGCCAGATCAGATCCACCCCTCTGCGTGTATTTTCATATAACTGGCGTCCTGGTATGAAGCCGACCTGATCTGGGTGTATTAATTTGGGTAACAGTGGGATTAGTCTAGATGCCAATATCTTTGCGAATATCTTTAAGTCGGTGTTGATGAGGGAGATGGGTCTGTAGTTTGTGGCAAGTGTGGTGTCCTTGTTGGGTTTGGGCAGTAAGATAATGTTGGCGGTGGCCATATCTCGGTCTGGAGTTCCCCCCTGAAGGAAGTGGTTATATAGTTTGATGAGGAGGGGTGTGAGTTCCGTCGTAAATGTTTTATAATAGCCCATATCGTAGCCGTCAGGTCCTGGTGCTTTGTTCCCCTTCAGGGCGGAGATCGAGGCCGCTACCTCCTCCGGTGTGATGGGTGCTTCTAGAGCGTTGGCCTCTCCTGTTGTCACCCTGGGTAGATTAGTGTGGGTTAGGAAGTCAGCTATGTGGGCGAGATGTTGGGTCTGGGCCTCACCCTCCATTGGTGAAAGGTTATATAGTTGCTGAAAGTATTCTGTAAAGGCATCATTGATATCTTTCGGGGTGTTAACTAGTTTGTTGGCTTTGTTACGGAGCGTTGTAATGGGTTTATATCCCTGTCTCGAGTGTACGCGCTAGCAGTGTGTCCATTTTATTGGCTTTTTCATAGAACTTGCGCCGTGACCATAGTATAGAACGTGTTATTTCTGCTGTCATGTGCTCCCTGATTGCGTGTCGAGTGCCTTGGAGTTTGTTGTATGTGGTGGGGGAGGGGTTTTGTTTATGTTGTTGTTCGAGTTTCCGCATAGCGGTTTGTAATTCTAGTAGGTGTTTTGTTCGTGTCCGTTTTTTATGAGTGGCTGCCTGTATGAGATGTCCCCTCAGTACGGTTTTGTGTGCCGCCCAGAGTGTTGTTGGGTTTACTTCTTCTGTGTCGTTGGTACTAAAATAGTCCGTGATTTTTTGTCGCGTTGTGGTAAGTATTGTTTCATCGGTAAGTAGGGTTGTGTTGAGTCTCCATGTCCAGTTGTTGTGGTGTTGGAGGTTCCCCAGCGTAATCGCTACATCAGCGTGGTCTGACCACGTGATGCTGTTTATTTCTGAGTGAATGAGTTTAGCCATACCCGCTCCATTGAGGAGGATATTGTCTATCCTGGAGTATGTGTTGTGTGGCGCCGAGTAGTATGTGTAGTCTCTTGTGTCTGGGTGTTGGAGTCTCCAGGCATCCAGGAGTCCAGTGTGTTGGAGGAAGGAGTATAGGAGTTTATCTTGTCCCCCCCTGCCTTGAGATCTTTGTGTCCCTGGTTTGGAGCTGCGGTCGATTGCTGGGCAGGGAACAGCGTTGAAGTCACCTCCCACTATTAAAATGCCCCCTTGCAGGGTGGCGAGTAGGGATGTTATGGTGTCCCAATAAGCCCGGTCTGGGTTGTTGGGTGCGTATAAGTTTACGATATGTAGTTTAGTGTTATAGTGGGTGCCACTTATGGTTACGAATCTGCCTTCTGGGTCTATCTGTTTATGGGTCATTATAAATGGGCAGCGTTTGTGTAGGAGTATAGCTACTCCTGCTTGTTTGCAAGGTGCCCTGGCCTCGTATGTTGTGGTGTAGAGACGGTCTCCTAGTTTGATCGATGCGGCTTTAGGAATGTGCGTCTCCTGTATAAGTGCTATGTCGGCCCTTTTTGCTTTTAATTCTCGCAATAATAGTCTGCGTTTGGTAGGAGTGTTTAGTCCTTTCGCGTTTATGGATAAAATTTTTAAAGTCATGGTTGGGTTTGTCTTATGGGATGCTTGTGTGTGTGTGTGCGGGGCGGAGGGTCCATACCAGTCAGGATTCTGTTGGTCTCCCCCCTTTCTGTCGCTGTCGTCCGGCGGTCTCTTTGGGGTATCAGGATTAACATTTCACTCGTGCATAGTGAACCGAAAACCATAAACATAAACAAAAATATTACATAATTATGAACCATATAACAAGGTTGATAGAAACATATGTAACGATGTACTTTCAGTCTGGTCTTACAATTTGCCAGAATGGAATGGGGATAAGTCTCACCCCCGCAGGTCAGAATTCTGTCCTATTCCGGGGTGGGAGGCTCACCAATCCACTGTGCCTCTGTGCGAGGCGTCAGATGCAGCCTGCCATCTGGTTGGGTGCCCATCTCGTCCTTTATATCTCGGGGGGGGAGGGGGGAGGGGCAGTATAAGTAGTTGGACATTTTTATTTTTATTTTTTTTTTTTTCTTTCTTTCTTGAAATGTCTCAGGTTAAGGGAAACCTCTGATTGTGTCAAGTTGCAGCGGAGCATAAGGGTGAAAGACTGTTAAACACAGCGATTGCGTGAGGGTTAAGAAAGTAGGGATCCTCTGTGGGCCGTGGTGGAGGAGGGGGGTTTGCTAGAGCAGTGTTCGTGCTATGCAGCTTCCATCTCTAGGAAGAGAAAGAGGAATGCCCCCTAGGGTTGTGACCCGGGCAATCTAGTTTTCTGATTATTCGTGAGCTATCTAGGAAATACTACCCTGTTTCTATACCAGCAAAGATACATATGCACTAGTGCTCAGCGGTCTTCATCTGAGCTGCGGCCCATTACCCTGGGGGTACCCTATATCGCATGAAAACAGGTATTTAATGGCATTAGTGAAACTGTTGATCATAAGGTCGTTTTCGAGGCGTAAGAGCTTATCGGATGCTTAACTTTCAAAGGCCCCACCAGCCAAAGCGGAGGAGAGAACCAACACCTCTCTGAGGCTGCTTCTTTGCTGGTTGTATGTGCCATATGTGGATATACTTTTGTTTTGCTGTATGTAAACTCCAAATGTTTTTTGTATGTTTTTTTTTTTGTATAGGAAGTAGAGGAGGATGATCCTGTGCCTGAAATTCGCCGGGATCATTTTGAAGAAGCTATGCGTTTTGCCCGTCGCTCAGTCAGTGATAACGACATTAGAAAGTATGAAATGTTTGCACAGACCTTGCAACAGAGCCGTGGATTTGGCAGTTTCAGGTAATCGTCATGTCTTAATTATGCTCTCTGACAAAATGGTAAACCTATCTTACCACAGCAATAATTCAATTCCACACAATTCCATCTCCCAGTTGTTTTCTGATTTTATTGAATAGAGATTTTTCTATTATTTTGGACATTAACTAAATGTAGGGTTTAAGTGATGTTTTGAGTAATAATGCTCCATTGGGTTTTTTTTTTTTCCTACAGATTTCCCTCTGGTAGCCAGGGAGGAGCTGGTCCGAGTCCAGGTGCAGGTGGAGGTACTGGTGGAAGTCATTTTACTGAAGAAGAAGATGATCTCTATGGCTAGGTGGGGCCTTGGTGCCGTCCATGTTGTACAGAGAAGAAATTCCTACGTTATTGGACACTCAGCTTTTCATTCCTCAGTCAGAACAGCACTGCACACCCCACTCCTGTTTTATTTTGTTACATGGGTGTGAGAAGAGGGGAGCCACATCTCTCAGGATACAGGCCTAAACTTTTCTTTCTCTTCTTCCCAACCCTGTTTCCGAAGCAGCTCTAGCTCTTCTTTGATAAAATGTAGCGGGCAGGGAGCAAACGTGGTTCCTGACACGCAACATTTTTTTACTACTCCTTCAGCACCTGAGAAGCCTGCAATTTGTTGCTCATCTGCAACTTTAAATCTTGACTGCCTTCAGCCTCTTGTCAAACTTAAATCCTTTATCTCCACATAGCTGTCATCTATGACCACTTTTGTTGCCACAGTGGCCTACAGCCTGTTGCTGCCCTATGATCGTAGAAGGGTGCATATTTCTGTGTAAATGCCAAGAGAATAGCGATAGCTTTGGCAGGATGATCAACCATCGATACTTTGGCTCGTACTATTGCAGGCTTCTCCAGCTCTGACAGGATCACCCCTCTCTGTGGTGGGTATAAGAGACATTAATAAAGAAAACATGCAGTGAATTTTTTTATGTTGGTTTCGGGCTTATGTTATTGGATATAAACAAGATACATGCAGGTTGACGTCTAACGTGAGAATAAACTGACTGATCACTGAGCTTTGTCTGCTTGCTTTTTGCTACTAAATGAGTTTTACCAGTCCATAGGTTTAATGCCTTTATATTTTATGAATTCAGTCAGATCTTTTTACAATTAAGAAAATGCTTTCATTAATGTTTTAATTACAGTTATCACTCTATCCGAGGTTGCTAAAGAAACCGAGTTAAACGTCATCCCTTTTGCAAAACTCTTACTCTGAGCTTGGGCAGTTGTGACTTTCATAATGGGTGGTCGCTGGGTACACTCCTTTACACCATCTTGGAGGAAGGGGAAATGTGTCTAAAAGTTACGTTCTAACAACATTTCTAAAGAAACCTGTTTGTAAAGGACACTGAAAGGGACCCTCCGGGTACCAATAAAACTTTAATTTGATATGTTTTGTAGGCTCTATCTGCTGTATGTTTTGCAGGCTCAAATCTTTAGTTTTTGTACAAAAAAAATGTTTAGCAGAAAGCTGCACCATAAGTCAGGCCTCACTCCAGAAAAATACTTTCTCATCAAATGTAACGCCCTAGCCATTGACCGTACTGAATGATCTGAACTGCAGCCTGCATTAAGAGAGGACACTTGGGAAGATGTAGAGTAAGGGTATCACTGTCTAACCAAGGAAGCAGTCTTATGGTGCAGATTAGGCAAAACAATATTTTTGTTTGTTTTTTTTATTGCAAAAACTATAAAGCTGCAAAAATCAGGCCAAAATCGATCAAATGCAAAAAGTTGTGTTGGTGCCAGGAGTGTGCCTTGAAATTACAATTATATTAAATCTATCTGCACATTTCTACAGTTTAGAAATCTCTGGGAGAACACAGTGTAGGAGTCTTAATGGCCAGCCAGAAGATCTCTACATAAGTTGCAGTTGACATGCGCTATATATCACCTTTTAGTTTTCGAGCAAATCTTGAATCTCTTATATAATGATGTTCACTACATGTTATCTGGTTGGTGGATTTCAACTCCATATGTGGCATCCAATTGGACAGACTGGGTGTTATGGAAGTTGTAGTGATCAGTTTTTTTACAATTTTAAGGAAGATGGCTCGATTCCAAAGCTGGTTCGGCATGTTCACAGTGTGGAGGACATGCTTTTTCTGTAAGTAAATGCATATGGTGAATGGCTTGAATTCTGGTTTTGTATTTTTAAGTTAGATTATTTGGAGCTCAGGGCAGATTCAGATGGTTTTAAGGTGAAAGAACAGGCCGACCCTTAACCACCGTATATTGTGGTAATGCATTTACTAACCCTTTAAATAAAAATGCTTGTGCATTCATACACACATTCACTGCACATAACATGTAATTGTGAGCAGAATAGTCTTTGCTAGATCAGCTGGCTAGCAGAAAATTCCCCTTTGGTAAGTGTCATAGACTGTCCAGGCTTGTCATTTTGTGAAACTTTAAGGTCTGGCTAGTAGTGTAGATATGACATTTTAAGACCTGTTTTAAAGGGGAGCTGTAATTTTCTTAGATTTTTCATATTCTGTTAGCATATCCCTATATAACAAATGTTTGTGATATGTGAAAAATGAAATTTAAATCTAGAAATCCATACTTCTTCATGCTGAAGCTGGATGCCTTCATCTTGGCTGCCTGGCAAACCTACAGAGAACAGGAGAAATCAAACTGTGCTATATTGCTCCTTTTCATTTGCAATGTTGGCCCTGCCTTTACATTGTGTGAACTGTATTATGACTTAATTTCATTAAATATATTTTTAAACGACTGTATATCACAGGGGGAAAATTATGTGCAACATTCCTTCATAAGTGCCTTCTGACTCAACACCTGACGTTTTCTGATTATTTAAATAGCGCCATCAGATTCTGTAGCGCTGTACAATGGGTGGACTCACAGACATGTAATTGTAACCAGACAACTGGACGTACAGGAACAGAGAGGTGGAGGGCCGTGCTCAATGAGCTTACATTCTAGAGGAATCCCTTCTACTGAAACAAGCCGTTATTTTCCCCAAATAATCACGGGGAGTGGGCTGAGCCCAGCTCCTGGACCCACCTTCTAATAGTTGACCCAGGTGTTTAATTTACCTTCTAGTTTATTCTGTCACCTCACACACCTATGATGAAATTGATATGCTTGACTGTTTGTTTTAAAGGAACTATACTGAAAGAGGATGGCCATTGGTATTAATACTGCATGTCAAAAGTTTAACAATTCTAGATATGTTGTTGGGAGAGTTTCTTTAATGTTTCATATATCCAGCTATACCTGGCAACTAAGGTGTTGTGAACTAATGTTTGTTTAAAAAAAAAATATATATATATATTTTGAGGATGGTATTGGGTTACTAATTGCTGTACATATTAGACAAAATTGTATCAGTTTGCTTTTGTTTGAGTTGGCAAACAAATCCTGGAAAAAATATATATACTTGGAGCTCTGGATGTTTTATCGTGAATTTTTGAACACATGTCCTACATCTTGCACTTCTCAGAAACTGCTATGTTTACATCTGGGGTTAAGCCAGCCTCTAGTGGCTGTCTTCCGGACAGCCACTAGAGGCGCATCGGCAATGATTGAGGCATATTATGCCTCAATCACGCAGAGCGTCCATAGGAAAGCATTGAAAAACGCTTTCCTATGGACGCTTTGAATGCGTGCGGCACTGCCGCGCATTCGGTGACGTCAGACAAGGATGCTGACATCGACGGGGGAGGAGAGGTAAGGGAGCCTGGCGGGGGGGAAAGGGTGAGTAGCTGAAGGGGTTTTAACCCACTTAAGCGCCGCGGCAGGGGGACCCTGAGGGTGGGGGCACCCTCAGCGTACTATAGTGTCCCTTTAAATTGTCCATACCTGTTGTATGAGCATATCCTGTAGATTTTTAGGGTGGGTATAGGAGGACCTGGCACTCAAGCCACTATCTGCGCATGCTTCTATACTATGCTCTATTTTTTTTTAATGAGGATATTAAATCTACGATTAGAACCAATAACTGCATTGAGTGTCTGAAAAGGTACAGGCGCATGGGAAAAAATTTCTGACCAAAGATGCGGAAACCTAATCTTAATCAACCGTTTCATTGATTCTTTGGTATTCATTGTGGAGAAGATGGCCATTGTTCTAGCAGAGTTAGTTATACAGTGGAACCTCGGTTTACAAACTCCTCAGTTAACATAACAATTTTCGGTTTACAAATCAAAATCCATTGAAAATAATGCCTTGCTTTACAAGTTTTTTTTTTCGTAATACAAAGCAAGTTTCCCTGGGAGGTTTATAACACCGCCCCCTGCATGCTGGAGCCTGTGGGTAGCACGTGGTGTCGAGTGTGCAGGTGTTGGAGCAGCTTTTGCATCGCGTTTTGGAGCCATTCTGGAAATCGTTTTCAGTTGTTTTGGGACTTTTTGGTGCATTTCTCAAGCTGTGGAAAGGTAGGGAGCTGAGCTTTGTTGTTTGCATGCCTTTTATTGTGTTTTCTGCATTGTGGGTTGGTTTCCATGCCAGCTCATTTTGATTTTTTTTTTTTTTTCCTCCCCTCCAGAACGGATTCATGGATTCATTGGTTTTCAATGCTTTTCTATGGGAAACTGCGTTTCAGTTTACAAATGTTTTGCAATAAGAAATGTCCCGGAGAACGCATTAAATTGGTAAACAGAGGTCCCACTGTACAATAATCATTAAATAGGACAAAATGTAACCAAGCAACAAGGAATGTAGTGGATGCCTTGTCACTCCTAAACATTTGGAAGTACAGACAGGTTATCCCAACTGTTTGGAAATACAGGGTAGCCGCAATAAAATAACCACGAGGAGGGGGGCACACAGAGTTTCATGCACAAATATCCAACAGGATGAGCACCTTCCAAGGTCAACATTGTGGGATTTGAAAACCAAAAATGGCTTCTACCAAGGAACTATGATGATCAGACTTTGTAGAGAAGGCTAAACTTGGGTGACAGACATGGACCCATGTAATACACAGAATTAAGTGTTAAAATGAGTCCTGGTAATATTTATATAGCGCCAGCAAATTCCGTAGGGCTGTACAATTGGTGGACATTGACATGTAATTGTAACCAGACAAGTTGGACACACAGGAACAGAGGGGTGGAGGGCCCTGCTCAGTGAGCTTAAATGCCTGAGGGAGTGGGGTATAGTGACACAAAGGGTAAAAATAGGAGTAACGAAGTAGGTTGCTAGAAAAGTATTCACTGAGGCCTTAGTAGGTTATTTTTGATAGTTGCAGGAGAGGAGTCAGGGTGTGGGAATGAAAACCTGCTTAACAGTTTAATTGATATGCTTTCCTGTAGACGTAAGGTTTTAATTAATTTTTGAAGGAATGAAGACTGGGTGAAAATCTAACGGAGAAAGGAAGGGAGTTCCACAGAAAAGGTGCAGCCCTGGAGAAGTCTCGTGGGAGTACAGACAGAATAGATGTACGTCATTTGCAGAGTGTAGGGGCCTAGATGGGACATACTTGTGTATTAGGGAGGATAGGTATGTTGGAGCAGAATTATGTAGGGACTTGCAAGCAAGCACCAGAATTTTAAATTGAGCCCTTTATCTTACTGGAAGCCAATGTAGGGACTGACAGGGGTAAGGTGGAGGGGGGGAAAGAAAATGAGCCTCCTCACCGCTTTCATTATAGATTGCAGTGGTGCTAGCTTGGAACACGTAAGACCACTGAGAAGGGGGATTGCAGTAGTCAAGGCAAGAGAGAACAACAGCATGGACCAGCACTGTAGCTGCGGCCAGTGTACGCTATGTTTTTGAGATGGAAGTGACAGGATTTGGATATCAACTGGCCATGAGGGGTGAAGGAGAGGTCGAAGTAAAAGAGAACAGCTACGCAGCACCATTGACTTTGGAGGGAGACAGATACGGGAGTAGCAACACTTGAGGGAGGAAAGACCAGACCAGACCAGAAGTTCTGTTATGGACAGGTTGAGTTTAAGGAAGCGAGCAGCCATCCAGTTGTAAATAGCAGAGAGGCAGTCAGAGACACGTGTCAAGATGGGCAGGGAGAGATCAGGAGAGGACAGGTATATATGACCATGCAGAGTAGTAGCAGCAGCTAACCCTTTGTTGAGACTGTGCTTGAGAAACTCAAGGATGCAGAAAATTCAAAAGGAGTTCCTTTTCTGCCCTTGGAGCAAGTAAGGCCTGCCAAACCTTGTGATAGAGCCATACAGGATAGCTCACGAACGTGAGAATAGACAAATTCAAAGTGAAAATAACTGGGATGGATAAAATTCTTAAATAGCTATGTTTCCACTTCAACTATTCTGGTCTTAAGTTTGAGTCACCAACAATTCTCACCCTGATAGTGTGCAGCCAGGATTTCTGGGCTATAATGAGCAATGGGTAGGATGAGAGCTAATGTATGTGTATGCTGGGAGGTAACCTAGGAAAGGAGCTCTTATAAGGTGAGCATCCCTTAGTTTATCTCCCTCTCAGCTATCTACCCTGCAAAGGATAAGAGTTGTGGTCACAGAGGGGCTGAGCAAGATAGTACTTGTGACATTGCTGCCCAACACCGGTGCTTTGCGGGTGAGTAGTGCCATGCACAGCTGTCCATTAAAGCTCCAGGAAGTTTGCCAGAAAGGCTGGCTGCGGAAGAGGCAGTTGCATTCGGTGACATTAACCAAATCACCATCTAGATAAGGGGTTGCATTTTAAACAGTAAAACAAGCCATTAATTAACTTAGTCCGCCACATCAATTTACATCTTCATAGACTGCATTAATTCTACACAATCTCACCCTTCGAGTCCTGGTGTTCCATAGAGTTAACCTTTCACGTTCACATTCCACTGTGCCTATGCCAATTAAGCCTCTAAACAAGGGGTGCCCAAAAGGTAGATCCTCAGATGTTTTAAAACTACAGCTTCTATGATGCTTTGTCATTCTAAATGCATACAAAGCATCATGGGAGTTGTAGTTCAACATCTGGGGATCTACCTTTGGGGTACCCCTGCTCTACACAAACAAAACTACTATTGCCATGATTACCCTTACCTTGTGTCATGTGCCCCACTCTCATTCAAATGCTAGCTTGTTTGAGCAGGGCCCTCTGTCCATTCCGTTTGTGTATGTTGTACTTAATCCACCTATTGTACAGCGCCGGGGAATTTGATGGCTCTTAATAAATGTCATATCTGATAACCCGTTTGGAACGGAGATTTACAGCAGTAGTTACTTGTGGACCAGTGGCTCTACCAAACAAATCTCTTTGCAATATTTGTTCCCACACATCTGGAAATTTCTAAAAAATAAGGAAGGCCACAAGATGGCACAAACAGGAAAAAAAATTAATAGGTTCACTTTAATACAGGTATGTAGGAGATTGAGAAAAAACTATTTATAGTTAAACTCAAATCCAGTTCTTTTACTCTGCACTCCAAGTGTTAATTGGCAGGAAAAAAAAAAAAGGAATACAGTTCTGGAATTTTTAATAAATTAACAATAAAAATACACATTTTCACTGTATCTGTGTTAAAATATTACATGTTGATACAAAGTTATATAGAGAATATATATGGCATGAATTGGCACGAGAGCCCTACCAAATAACCAGTGCACTTCTGCGCAGAAGCAGAAATTATGTCATTAAGACAATCTCAATATTAGCAGCTGCTCAGAATCCAAAGCCATTGCACATTTAAAAGACATATAAAAAGGAAACAAAATGACACACTAGAAATTGTGAACATCTGATTTTAAAATACTGACATAAGCATCAGTAATTTAACAAGGAGAAAGAAAAGACAATTAAAGAGTTGTGTTAAAATCTGATTCATGTTCTGATGGGTTGGAAATAATGGATGATGTCAACATTAATACGAATTTTAAAAATATTACAATATAGCAAAGAAGGCACTAAATCACAAACACTAGAACTTGTAATTTGTGATCTAATAATTTGCAATTCCCTTCCACAGTGCCCAGTTTAATATACAGACACCAGTGTCTCTTGCCTGCTCCTGGTTATGTTTGGAAATGGACAATTTGATGTGCAAGAGAGGACCGCGAATTTCAAGATGTGCAAAGAACCTGCCTTTGAGAAACATGCGATGAAATGGGCACTCGTTTCTGTACGTGTTTATACACAGACACACCTAGGCAACATTGGAAGAGTGACCTAAGAAACCAATTTATATTATATACATATAGCAAAACATATAAACATCCCACAAGTTCAATAAAATAGTCCAGTGGCAAACCCCTTTATGTTGGGGCCACCAGTAACATTTCTAAATGAATTAACAGGAGTTCATCGTGGATATCTTTTGTAATAAAAAGTATAAGTATCCATTCTTATACAAGCAGGAAAAAAAGTTCAATATTTTTGTGGATAAAGAATATAAAGAAGAAAGAAAAAGCCACATTGATCCTCTAAGCACAATGCAAATGAGATATATCTATTGTCTATATAAAATGCACATCGTTGGGTGTGTGGGGATGGAGGGTTGTGTAATGTACATGTGTGGAGGTGATTCAGCAATTGGGGTCGGGTGGTGTGCACTCCGTAGGTGTGGTGTAGTAAGAATGTTGCAGAGTTTTCTGTTTGCAATTGGAGGAGGTGGGTGATGGGGATCATGCAGTTGTCTCTTTGGGAGAGGAATTGTGAAGATGTTGCAATAACAATCCATATGAAGCAGTTTTATGTGGGCCCTATTACAAGGTGTAATAAGGACTCTGGCTACATGCAAAGGTAATGCGTGGGTATGTGGTGGCAAGTTGTAGGGATGCTGCATTGGGCAGCGTGGGACTAGTTGAGGATAAGCTACATGGGTCTTTCTGTGACTGGTTGGGAATATGATGGAAGTGTATATGTGGGAGCAGCAGTGGTTGGGAGGATGTACCCTAGACTTGTGAGGGATGGGGCAGGTTCTAAAGATGCTGCAATGGTGGTATACCATGTAGGCCTACATGTGATTGGTTGGGAAGATGCTCTATGTGCCGGTGTTGGGGAAGCAGTGGTTGGGAGGAATGTGCCATAGACTGGTGAAGGACGGGGCAGGTCATAAAGATGCTGCATTGGTGGTATAACACGTGGATCTATGTGTGTTTGTTTGGGAAGGCACTCTATGTGCCTGTGCTGGGGAAAGTGATGGTTGGGCGGGTGTACCATGCAAGTGTAGGTTAGGAACATGTTGTGGTGCAGTTAAGGGAGGTGCTGGGGTCTACATGAGAATGGTGGAGGTGGTATATAATTGGTTTATGCTGGTGTTGGGAGTTGGGTCTCTTGTCTTTGACTAGTTCTCAATGCCCCCCAGTACTCCTGGATAATTTAGTTGGGAGATTGATTGAATTGAACAATTGTGAGGTAGAAATATGAGAATGTTATACGTGAATACATGGAGTTGATAGATTTGCATGGTATATACCATGCATGGTGGGTCACATTATGATAACGTATCAGTGGCTTGCCACCTGTTGATTATACCCAGTACTGTTTGCTGCAAAGTACTGGGAGGTGGTGATTTTGTCTGGTGTCCCTTCGATGTCGGGTCCTACGAATATAGTAGGGGTCATAGTAATCCCACTCCATTCCAGAGATCCAGGACAGGGAGCTATTGTCGCTGTCCGTAGATAAGATGTGCACGGAGACTCCTGAAAAGAGAGTGATGAAACACATGGACACATCAAACTCCATAAAAATGTATATCTTGTCCATGAAACCTGGAATCACAGGCTCATCTATTAATGGGGTACACTCCAAGCACCATAATTACTACAGTTCAGTGTAGTGGTTATGGTACTAGGATACTATGGCACCATAACCTGGTTTGTGTTTTTGACAATGTTTTGGAGGGATTTCAGAACAAACAAAAAAACAATGCAGGACTCTTCATGGCGCCCACTGACTGATCCCGCAGCACACAGACTGATAAATTACACTTCTTCATTATCAGTATTAGTCTGTCTAACTTGACAGGCAATGATAGGCTGGGAGCACCAAAAGCCTACCATAGAGGTTTGCCATTGAATTGAAACTGGTTTCCTGATATAATTCAGTGAAGGTGTCAGTGATTTCCTGTTGTAATATTGTAGAGAGGATCATTTCATGACTTAAAATGTGCTCTGCAGCCCATCACCAGTCCCTAACTCAGGGAACAGGGCTCTGCAGCCCATCACCAGTCCCTAACTCAGGGAACAGGGCTCTGCAGCCCATCACCAGTCCCTAACTCAGGGCCCAGGGCTCTGCAGCCCATCACCAGTCCCTAACTCAGGGCCCAGGGCTCTGCAGCCCATCACCAATCTCCAGCTCAGGGAAAAGGGCTCTGCAGCCCATCACCAGTCCCTAACTCAGGGCCCAGGGCTCTGCAGCCCATCACCAGTCCCTAACTCAGGGCCCAGGGCTCTGCAGCCCATCACCAGTCCCTAACTCAGGGCCCAGGGCTCTGCAGCCCATCACCAGTCCCAGCTCAGGGCCCAGTAGCATATACTGACCTGCACTCACACCAAAGTCACTGTCCAAGCCTGGCCCCTGTAAGCCACTGCAATAGGAGAGCTGGGCCGAGTCATCCTGGTGTAAAATTCCTGTACGTTCAAAGTTTATTGAGCTCAAAGGTGTGAAAGGTTCCAAGCCTCTCTGGGTCTTCTGCTGAGTGCTCGTTGGATGGGAAAATGTCACTTTTGGAGTAACCTATCAGGAGAACATCAATAAATAAAAATAATGAACGACATGACACTAGCATGAGCATTTCATATCAAAATATTTCACATAGCATTTCATTTAACAGCTCTACTTCGGCAATGTTTAATTGATGGGGATTAAATAAATAAATATTAGGATTTGCATCAGGCAATAAAAGTAAATCTTCTTAACACAAACTGTATTCTATGGTTAAAAAACTGCTGATCTATGGTCTTCTTTTATTGACTTCACAGAGTCTATTAACAGCTTTCACTGCATGTTCTGACAGCAGTCATATGCTGCCCAGTGACTCTTCTATATCCAGATAAAGCAGACTAACCTTAAATTAAAGGGGAGCTGTTACTTCTCTATATCACGTATTCTAATCCCTAGGTTTAACAAATAGGTATGTAGGCTGTGAAAAATAAAATTAAAATGTAGAAATCCACGCCTTTTTATTTTTTTCTTCTTGTAACAGATTGCAATCATTTCTGATGTGGATTCAAATGAATTAAGTTAAAGGGATAGTGTAGTCAACAGAACCAATACAATTTAATGTAGTTCTGGTGTCTATAGCCTGTCCCTACAGGCTGCGCAATGTAAGAGCTACCTTTTCAGGAAAAAGGCAGTGTTTATATTGCTACCTACTAATACCTGTAGTGGCAGTCACTCACATGGTCACTAGAGGGACTTCCTGGGTTAGACCCTGCAATCTTTGCAGGACCTACATTCAGCGTCTCTACACTCAGCATAGAGATGCTGAATGCTCCTCATAGAGCATTCAATGCATCTCTATGAGCAGATACGGATTGGCGCAGTGCTGCGTTTTGTAACGCATGCGCAATAGCCTCCCAATGCTTTCATATAAAAGATTGAAGAGCTCAGCCATGACGGCAATGGAGAAAAAAGTAAATATGTTTTAACTCCCTTCTAAGGGGAGACTGACGCCTAAACATCCAGCACTATAGTGTTCCTTTAATGCCTATGCCTTAAAGGAAAACAATAGTGTCAGCAAAAAACAAACATCGCTACAGGTGACAGCTCCCATTTACCTCAGCACTGTCATCCTATATTAACTCTGCATGGTCACTGCCATGGTCCTCCACCCATTGCTACCAGAGCACCCTGTGCTAACCCAGCACTGTGACCCTTTATGAACTCCGCACTGACACAGCCAGGGTCCTTCACCCATTGCTACCAGAGCACCCTGTGCTAACCCAGCACTGTCACCCTGTATGAACTCCGCACATAGCTACCAGAGCACCCTGTACTAACCCAGCACTGTCACCCTGTATGAACTCCGCACATAGCTACCAGCCCACCCTGTACTAACCCAACACTGTCACCCTGTATGAACTCCGCACCCATAGCTACCAGAGCACCCTGTGCTAACCCAGCACTGTCACCCTGTATGAACTCCGCACCCATTGCTACCAGAGCACCCTGTGCTAACCCAGCACTGTCACCCTGTATGAACTCCGCACATAGCTACCAGAGCACCCTGTGCTAACCCAGCACTGTCACCCTGTATGAACTCCACCCATTGCTACCAGCCCACCCTGTACTAACCCAGCACTGTCACCCTGTATGAACTCCACCCATTGCTACCAGCCCACCCTGTACTAACCCAGTACTGTCACCCTGTATGAACTCCGCACATAGCTACCAGAGCACCCTGTGCTAACCCAGCACTGTCACCCTGTATGAACTCCACCCATTGCTACCAGAGCACCCTGTGCTAACCCAGCACTGTCACCCTGTATGAACTCCACCCATAGCTACCAGAGCACCCTGTGCTAACCCAGCACTGTCACCCTGTATGAACTCCGCACATAGCTACCAGAGCACCCTGTGCTAACCCAGCACTGTCACCCTGTATGAACTCCGCACATAGCTACCAGAGCACCCTGTGCTAACCCAGCACTGTCACCCTGTATGAACTCCGCACATAGCTACCAGAGCACCCTGTGCTAACCCAGCACTGTCACCCTGTATGAACTCCGCACATAGCTACCAGAGCACCCTGTGCTAACCCAACACTGTCACCCTGTATGAACTCCGCACATAGCTACCAGAGCACCCTGTACTAACCCAGCACTGTCACCCTGTATGAACTCTGCACATAGCTACCAGCCCACCCTGTGCTAACCCAGCACTGTCACCCTGTATGAACTCGCACATAGCTACCAGAGCACCCTGTGCTAACCCAGCACTGTCACCCTGTATGAACTCCGCACATAGCTACCAGAGCACCCTGTATGAACTCCGCACTGTCACCCTGTCTGAACTCCGCACCCATAGCTACCAGAGCACCCTGTACTAACCCAGCACTGTCACCCTGTATGAACTCCACCCATTGCTACCGGACCACCCTGTGCTAACCCAGCACTGTCACCCTGTATGAACTCTGCACTGACACAGCCAAGGTCCTCCACACATAGCTACCAGAGCACCCTGTGCTAACCCAGCACTGTCACCCTGTATGAACTCCGCACATAGCTACCAGAGCACCCTGTGCTAACCCAGTACTGTCACCCTGTATGAACTCCGCACATAGCTACCAGAGCACCCTGTACTAACCCAGCACTGTCACCCTGTATGAACTCCACCCATTGCTACCAGCCCACCCTGTACTAACCCAGCACTGTCACCCTGTATGAACTCCACCCATTGCTACCAGCCCACCCTGTACTAACCCAGTACTGTCACCCTGTATGAACTCCGCACATAGCTACCAGAGCACCCTGTGCTAACCCAGCACTGTCACCCTGTATGAACTCTGCACCCATAGCTACCAGAGCACCCTGTGCTAACCCAGCACTGTCACCCTGTATGAACTCTGCACCCATTGCTACCAGACCACCCTGTACTAACCCAGCACTGTCACCCTGTATGAACTCTGCACCCATTGCTACCAGCCCACCCTGTGCTAACCCAGCACTGTCACCCTGTATGAACTCCGCACATAGCTACCAGAGCACCCTGTGCTAACCCAGCACTGTCACCCTGTATGAACTCCACCCATTGCTACCAGACCACCCTGTACTAACCCAGTACTGTCACCCTGTATGAACTCCGCACATAGCTACCAGAGCACCCTGTGCTAACCCAGCACTGTCACCCTGTATGAACTCCGCACATAGCTACCAGAGCACCCTGTACTAACCCAGCACTGTCACCCTGTATGAACTCCACCCATAGCTACCAGAGCACCCTGTGCTAACCCAGCACTGTCACCCTGTATGAACTCCGCACATAGCTACCAGAGCACCCTGTGCTAACCCAGCACTGTCACCCTGTATGAACTCCGCACATAGCTACCAGAGCACCCTGTGCTAACCCAGCACTGTCACCCATGTATGAACTCCACACATAGCTACCAGAGCACCCTGTGCTAACCCAGCACTGTCACCCTGTATGAACTCCGCACATAGCTACCAGAGCACCCTGTGCTAACCCAGCACTGTCACCCTGTATGAACTCCGCACAGCTACCAGAGCACCCTGTACTAACCCAGCACTGTCACCATGTATGAACTCCACACATAGCTACCAGAGCACCCTGTGCTAACCAAGCACTGTCACCCTGTATGAACTCCGCACATAGCTACCAGAGCACCCTGTGCTAACCCAGCACTGTCACCCTGTATGAACTCCGCACATAGCTACCAGAGCACCCTGTGCTAACCCAGTACTGTCACCCTGTATGAACTCCGCACATAGCTACCAGCCCACCCTGTGCTAACCCAGCACTGTCACCCTGTATGAACTCCGCACACAGCTACCAGCCCACCCTGTACTAACCCAACACTGTCACCCTGTATGAACTCCGCACATAGCTACCAGCCCACCCTGTGCTAACCCAGCACTGTCACCCTGTATGAACTCCGCACATAGCTACCAGACCACCCTGTACTAACCCAGCACTGTCACCCTGTATAAACTCCACCCATTGCTACCAGAGCACCCTGTGCTAACCCAGCACTGTCACCCTGTATGAACTCCGCACATAGCTACCAGACCACCCTGTGCTAACCCAGCACTGTCACCCTGTATGAACTCGCACATGCAGACCACCCTGTACTAACCCAGCACTGTCACCCTGTATGAACTCCCCAGCGCACTTGGCTACCAGAGCACCCTGTGCTAACCCAGCACTGTCACCCTGTATGAACTCCACCCATTGCTACCAGCCCACCCTGTACTAACCCAGTACTGTCACCCTGTATGAACTCCGCACATAGCTACCAGCCCACCCTGTGCTAACCCAGCACTGTCACCCTGTATGAACTCCGCACATAGCTACAAGAGCACCCTGTGCTAACCCAGCACTGTCACCCTGTATGAACTCCGCACATAGCTACCAGAGCACCCTGTACTAACCCAGCACTGTCACCCTGTATGAACTCCGCACATAGCTACCAGCCCACCCTGTGCTAACCCAGCACTGTCACCCTGTATGAATTCCGCACATAGCTACCAGAGCACCCTGTGCTAACCCAGCACTGTCACCCTGTATGAACTCTGCACATAGCTACCAGACCACCCTGTACTAACCCAGCACTGTCACCCTGTATGAACTCCGCACATAGCTACCAGAGCACCCTGTACTAACCCAGCACTGTCACCCTGTATGAACTCCGCACATAGCTACCAGCCCACCCTGTGCTAACCCCAGCACTGTCACCCTGTATGAACTCACTTGCATAGCTACCAGGGCACCCTGTGCTAACCCAGTACTGTCACCCTGTATGAACTTCGCACATAGCTACCAGCCCACCCTGTACTAACCCAGCACTGTCACCCTGTATGAACTCTGCACATAGCTACCAGAGCACCCTGTGCTAACCCAGCACTGTCACCTGTATGAACTCCGCACATAGCTACCAGAGCACCCTGTGCTAACCCAGCACTGTCACCCTGTATGAACTCCGCACATAGCTACCAGAGCACCCTGTGCTAACCCAGCACTGTCACCCTGTATGAACTCCACACATTGCTACCAGAGCACCCTGTGCTAACCCAGCACTGTCACCCTGTATGAACTCCACCCATTGCTACCAGCCCACCCTGTACTAACCCAGCACTGTCACCCTGTATGAACTCCGCACATAGCTACCAGCCCACCCTGTGCTAACCCAGCACTGTCACCCTGTATGAACTCCGCACATAGCTACCAGAGCACCCTGTATGAACTCCGCACTGTCACCCTGTATGAACTCCGCACCCATAGCTACCAGAGCACCCTGTACTAACCCAGCACTGTCACCCTGTATGAACTCCACCCATTGCTACCGGACCACCCTGTGCTAACCCAGCACTGTCACCCTGTATGAACTCTGCACTGACACAGCCAAGGTCCTCCACACATAGCTACCAGAGCACCCTGTGCTAACCCAGCACTGTCACCCTGTATGAACTCCGCACATAGCTACCAGAGCACCCTGTGCTAACCCAGCACTGTCACCCTGTATGAACTCTGCACCCATAGCTACCAGAGCACCCTGTGCTAACCCAACACTGTCACCCTGTATGAACTCCGCACATAGCTACCAGAGCACCCTGTACTAACCCAGCACTGTCACCCTGTATGAACTCTGCACTGACACAGCCAAGGTCCTCCACACATAGCTACCAGAGCACCCTGTGCTAACCCAGCACTGTCACCCTGTATGAACTCCGCACATAGCTACCAGAGCACCCTGTGCTAACCCAGCACTGTCACCCTGTATGAACTCTGCACCCACGCCAGCTACCACCAGCACCCTGTGCTAACCCAACACTGTCACCCTGTGTGAACTCCGCTTTTAGCTACCAGAGCACCCTGTGCTAACCCAGCACTGTCACCCTGTATGAACTCCGCACATAGCTACCAGAGCACCCTGTGCTAACCCAGTACTGTCACCCTGTATGAACTCCGCACATAGCTACCAGAGCACCCTGTACTAACCCAGCACTGTCACCCTGTATGAACTCCACCCATAGCTACCAGAGCACCCTGTGCTAACCCAGCACTGTCACCCTGTATGAACTCCGCACATAGCTACCAGAGCACCCTGTGCTAACCCAGCACTGTCACCCCTGGCATGAACTCCATAGCTACCAGCCCACTCTGTGCTAACCCAGCACACTGTCACCCTGTATGAACTCCGCGCAGCTACCAGACCACCCTGTATGCTAACCCAGCACACCATCACCCTATGAACTCCGCACATAGCCACCAGAGCACCCTGTGCCCCAACCAGTACTGTCACCCTGTATGAACTCAGCACACCAGCTGCAAGGCACCCTGTACTAACCCAGCACTGTCACCCTGTATGAACTCTGCACCCACGCCCAGCTACCAGAGCACCCTGTGCTAACCCAGCACTGTCACCCTGTATGAACTCCGCACATAGCTACCAGAGCACCCTGTGCTAACCCAGCACTGTTACCATGTATGAACTCCACCCATTGCTACCAGCCCACCCTGTACTAACCCAGCACTGTCACCCTGTATGAACTCCACACATAGCTACCAGACCACCCTGTGCTAACCAAGCACTGTCACCCTGTATGAACTCCACACATAGCTACCAGAGCACCCTGTGCTAACCCAGCACTGTCACCCTGTATGAACTCCACACATAGCTACCAGACCACCCTGTGCTAACCCAGCACTGTCACCCTGTATGAACTCCGCACAGCTACCAGAGCACCCTGTGCTAACCAAGCACTGTCACCCTGTATGAACTCCACACATAGCTACCAGACCACCCTGTGCTAACCAAGCACTGTCACCCTGTATGAACTCCGCACATAGCTACCAGAGCACCCTGTGCTAACCCAGCACTGTCACCCTGTATGAACTCCGCACATAGCTACCAGAGCACCCTGTGCTAACTCAGCACTGTCACCCTGTATGAACTCCGCACTGACACAGCCAAGGTCCTCCACACATAGCTACCAGAGCACCCTGTGCTAACCCAGCACTGTCACCCTGTATGAACTCCGCACATAGCTACCAGACCACCCTGTGCTAACCCAGCACTGTCACCCTGTATGAACTCCGCACAGCTACCACAGCACCCTGTACTAACCCAGCACTCCAGCACTGTCACCCTGTATGAACTCCGCACATAGCTGGGCCACAGAGCACCCTAGCAACTCCAGCACTGTCACTCCTGTATGAACTCCGCACATAGCTACCAGAGCACCCTGTGCTAACCCAGTACTGTCACCCTGTATGAACTCCACACATAGCTACCAGAGCACCCTGTACTAACCCAGCACTGTCACCCTGTATGAACTCTGCACCCATTGCTACCAGACCACCCTGTACTAACCCAGTACTGTCACCCTGTATGAACTCCGCACATAGCTACCAGAGCACCCTGTGCTAACCCAGCACTGTCACCCTGTATGAACTCCACCCATAGCTACCAGAGCACCCTGTGCTAACCCAGCACTGTCACCCTGTATGAACTCCGCACATAGCTACCAGAGCACCCTGTGCTAACCCAGTACTGTCACCCTGTATGAACTCCGCACATAGCTACCAGAGCACCCTGTGCTAACCCAGCACTGTCACCCTGTATGAACTCCGCACATAGCTACCAGAGCACCCTGTGCTAACCAAGCACTGTCACCCTGTATGAACTCCGCACTGACACAGCCAAGGTCCTCCACACATAGCTACCAGAGCACTCTGTGCTAACCCAGTACTGTCACCCTGTATGAACTCCACACATAGCTACCAGAGCACCCTGTGCTAACCCAGCACTGTCACCCTGTATGAACTCCGCACATAGCTACCAGAGCACCCTGTGCTAACCCAGCACTGTCACCCTGTATGAAGTCCGCACATAGCTACCAGAGCACCCTGTGCTAACCCAGCACTGTCACCCTGTATGAACTCCGCACATAGCTACCAGACCACCCTGTACTAACCCAGCACTGTCACCCTGTATGAACTCTGCACATAGCTACCAGAGCACCCTGTGCTAACCCAGCACTGTCACCCTGTATGAACTCCACACATAGCTACCAGAGCACCCTGTACTAACCCAGCACTGTCACCCTGTATGAACTCCGCACATAGCTACCAGCCCACCCTGTACTAACCCAGCACTGTCACCCTGTATGAACTCTGCACATAGCTACCAGAGCACCCTGTGCTAACCCAGTACTGTCACCCTGTATGAACTTCGCACATAGCTACCAGCCCACCCTGTACTAACCCAGCACTGTCACCCTGTATGAACTCCGCACATAGCTACCAGAGCACCCTGTGCTAACCCAGCACTGTTACCATGTATGAACTCCACCCATTGCTACCAGCCCACCCTGTACTAACCCAGCACTGTCACCCTGTATGAACTCCACACATAGCTACCAGACCACCCTGTGCTAACCAAGCACTGTCACCCTGTATGAACTCCACACATAGCTACCAGAGCACCCTGTGCTAACCCAGCACTGTCACCCTGTATGAACTCCACACATAGCTACCAGACCACCCTGTGCTAACCCAGCACTGTCACCCTGTATGAACTCCGCACAGCTACCAGAGCACCCTGTGCTAACCAAGCACTGTCACCCTGTATGAACTCCACACATAGCTACCAGACCACCCTGTGCTAACCAAGCACTGTCACCCTGTATGAACTCCGCACATAGCTACCAGAGCACCCTGTGCTAACCCAGCACTGTCACCCTGTATGAACTCCGCACATAGCTACCAGAGCACCCTGTGCTAACTCAGCACTGTCACCCTGTATGAACTCCGCACTGACACAGCCAAGGTCCTCCACACATAGCTACCAGAGCACCCTGTGCTAACCCAGCACTGTCACCCTGTATGAACTCCGCACATAGCTACCAGACCACCCTGTGCTAACCCAGCACTGTCACCCTGTATGAACTCCACCCATTGCTACCAGCCCACCCTGTGCTAACCCAGCACTGTCACCCTGTATGAACTCTGCACCCATAGCTACCAGAGCACCCTGTACTAACCCAGCACTGTCACCCTGTATGAACTCCGCACATAGCTACCAGAGCACCCTGTGCTAACCAAGCACTGTCACCCTGTATGAACTCCGCACTGACACAGCCAAGGTCCTCCACACATAGCTACCAGAGCACCCTGTGCTAACCCAGCACTGTCACCCTGTATGAACTCCGCACATAGCTACCAGACCACCCTGTGCTAACCCAGCACTGTCACCCTGTATGAACTCCGCACAGCTACCAGAGCACCCTGTACTAACCCAGCACTGTCACCATGTATGAACTCCACACATAGCTACCAGAGCACCCTGTGCTAACCAAGCACTGTCACCCTGTATGAACTCCGCACATAGCTACCAGAGCACCCTGTGCTAACCCAGCACTGTCACCCTGTATGAACTCCGCACATAGCTACCAGAGCACCCTGTACTAACCCAGCACTGTCACCCTGTATGAACTCTGCACCCATAGCTACCAGAGCACCCTGTGCTAACCCAACACTGTCACCCTGTATGAACTCCGCACATAGCTACCTAGACCACCCCAGCAACTCAGCACTGTCACCCTGTATGAACTCCAAGACATAGCTGCTACCAGCCCACCCTGTACTCAACTCAGCACTGCCACCTGTATGAACTCCACCCATAGCTCAGAGCACCCTGTGCTAACCCAGCACTGTCACCTCTGTACATGAACTCCTCAAGCACCTGGTTGGGGCTACCAGCCCACCCTGTGCTAACTCCAGCACTGTCACCCTGTATGAACTTCGCATTACATAGCTACCAGACCACCCCTGTGCTAACTCCAGCACTGTCACCCTGTAGAACTCCACACATAGCTACCAGACCACCCTGTGCTAACCCAGCACTGTCACCCTGTATGAACTCCGCACATAGCTACCAGAGCACCCTGTGCTAACCCAGCACTGTCACCCTGTATGAACTCCACCCATAGCTACCAGAGCACCCTGTGCTAACCCAGCACTGTCACCCTGTATGAACTCCGCACATAGCTACAGGACCACCCTGTGCTAACCAAGCACTGTCACCCTGTATGAACTCCGCACATAGCTACCAGAGCACCCTGTGCTAACCAAGCACTGTCACCCTGTATGAACTCCGCACTCTAGAAAGGTGACAATTTCACTTTTTTCCCCCCTCACTGCTAGGGACAACCACCTGCAGCAACCAAGACAGCTACTGTCCCAGGACATTTTAGTTTTGAATGAGAGTTGTTATGGATATTTGAAAATCAGTTTAATAAAAACCCCTGATAAAAACATAAACATAAATAAAAACATTACTAAAACACAAGTTATATCGCTGTACTTTTTACTTTTGCAAAACTCTGCCATACATTCAAGCACAAAAAAAAATAAAAATGATTTAGGGTCCTACAAAAGAGGGGACTGCCACGTCAGGATAGGGGCACGTAGAAGGTGTGACACTATATTGGCATGGTTTCAAAGAGTAGCTGTATGATCATAAATAAATTTCAAGTCACTAGCTCCCACTCGTGGCAGGGTTAATTTAACTGAAATTGCCCACAAACATTAAATATAGCATTTATCATAGAGATAAATTAAGTAGTAAATGTAATGTTAACATTACATACATTATACCTCCCAACATTTCCAATGGACAAAGGACACTCATTTTAGGGGTGAGAGTTGGGGTGTGGTCAGAAATTTTAGGTGATTTATAAAATAATTTATCCAGCTAAAATGTAATTTAGAACAAGAACAATGTATCTTATTCACCAAAACAGATTTTTAAACACATCTGTTGTAGTTTAAGAACACATTACTGGGAGTATTATAGCTGTGGATCTCTGTTATACATACACCAACAATATGGAGGTCCTACAAGAGAGGTACTTTGGGATAGACAGAGGGATTTGGGCCCAAAACAGGGACTGTCCCTCCTAAATAGGGACATATGGGAGGTATGCGTACCTTCCAGCAGCACAACTAAATCTAACTAATGAAAGGGGCATTATAGCGTTCAGTGTACAGGTTTGAATTCCTAACACATTAATAATGCAATTCATATCACTGGTGAGACTTCCAGCCACGAAAACGACCTATCATCAGAGCTCACAGGCGCACCAGGATGACAGACAGATCTGCAGGGTGGATCATGCCCCAGAAAGCCTAGTGCAGCAGGAGCCCATTTAGTAATATGTTCATGCACTGCATTACGGGTGACTAGAAATCGCAATGAAACTGGGACTGTCCCGGCAAACTCAGGACAGTTGGCAAGTATGTATCCTCAAGACAGCCACTGGTCATTAAATTTCTTTTAAGAGTTATCTAACTTTTGTTTCATACATATTGACGTTACAGGTGACACCGGTCACACGACCTTGTGAAAGAAGCATCTCATAGGGCAGCACCAATTATAATGAGACAGACAAAATGCACTCACCGCTTGGACGGTTGCAGCTTCTGGGCTGTTAGGCGGCACTGCATCATGTCGGGTGTCATTTTCACAGAAAGATCTTGCATATTGGAACCATTCTCTTCCCATGTCATCCTCCACCTGGTGGCTCAAGCACAGAAGCTTCTCCTGAGGTTTTATGCTGCAGTTTGAGGTCCATAATCTCCGGGAGCACGAACAACAGGGTGTGGACGTGGGCATTATGCAGGCTGTGGGCCGAGAGCAAGACGTACATTGACTAAACCGCTTGTGGCAGCCATTTAGGGTTTGTGGTTCATCTATAGACTCTGGACAACCTCCCACTACTGCCATTGTAGCCTCTAATCCTTTACTAATGGTGTCTGATACACGATGTCTGTCCCCGAGGGACATACTGGAGGGGGCCATATGTCTCGATGCCAAACGGTAATGCCCATTCTGATTAACCCTATAACGGGGATGCTTGGGTTTTGGGACACCCCTCCGCTTTGCTTTGGCATTTGCAGAGAAAACTGGTAAGCGGTGTATAAGCAGGAAGCAATTTAGGCAAAAGAGCAGAATTACACAAGGAATTATAATAAAAATAAGGAGCGCAAGAGGCGGGTGAAGGAGCAACTTGTCTTCTGCTTCAGGAGTAACAAATGTTCCCTCTACTGAGGAAAGATTAGAAGGAACCAAAGTTCCCATTGTAAATCCAGAACTGCTGGATTAATTGGACAAGATTAAAGGGGAGGAGGATGTACCATGTGTTTGTGAATAGCTGGAAACTGGAGCTGAGGTGGGACCTATTCTCTCCAGGCAGCAGACCCTCTGGAAAGGTAACATGGGGGAGCTAGGTCAAGGCACCTGACACTCGCCAGGATATTGCCTTATTCACAACCATTACCAGATGGCACGTAAATTTGAGTCAGTTTTGCTGCCCATGGGGCACTGAAGGAGTTAATGTGAATCCATCCTGTCTGCTGGAGATTTAGCTCACTGTATTCTTATTTATGAACCTTAATGAAACTCCTGGATGCCATTTTATGATGTAAAATATTTTAATTTAAAAAATGTTTGTTGTGTATATTTATATAAATGCTAGTGCAATGTGTTGGTTTTTAAATGCACTCCATACAGCTCCAGCACTCACAGAGTTAATGTGAAGTTTTTAGAGAGGAGATGGACACACCCTATTTAACCCCTCATTCTCCAAAATAGGTTTATGGAATAAAGGTGCAGATGGTATGATTGGCAGAGCACTCATTTCCTGTAGCCTAAGTGTTTGTTTATTCTCTTTTATTAGAAACCCTTTTATTTAAGAGACACTCTAAACAACATAACTCCTTGTGCCCATTGCATAGGTTATTGTGAATGGACGTACCCTGCTCCAGTCTCCCTGAAAATAGTTGCTTATACACTGGACGACACTCAGTCCTGGGAGCTCTAGTCCTTACAAGGACTTTCCCCATTGAATGCTCCACAGTGGAACAGTAAATAAAGGGACACTATAGTCACCAGAACAACTACAGCTTATTGTATTTGTTCTGGTGAGTAGAATCGTTACCTTCAGGCTTTTTGCTGTAAACTCTGTCTTTTCAGAGAAAATGCAGTGTTTACATTACAGCCTAGTGATAACTTCACTGGCCACTCCTCAGATGGCTGTTAGAGATCCTTCCTGGGTCATGGCTGCCTAAAATGCATCCAAACATTCAGTGTATCCTCCTTCTGCATGCAGACACTAAACTTTCCTCATAGAGATTCATTGATTCAATTCAGCTCTAGGAGGAGATGCTGATTGGCCAGGGCTGTGTTTGAATCATGCTGGCTCTGCCCCTGGTCTGCCTCCTTGTCAGTCTCAGCCAATCCTATGGGGCAGCATTGTGATTGGATCAGGACACCACTTCTGGTGATGTCAGCAGACTGCTTGTTTTTTGTTTTTTTTGAGGCAAACTGCATGCAGAGCTACAGCTTCAGGCTTCAATACCGTAAGATTTTGCTATATTTATGGAGGCATGAGGGGACCAGGGGGGCCAGATGTGGTTTTAACACTATAGGGTCAGGAATACATGTCTGTGTTGCTGACCCTATAGCAGGGGCGTACCTAGAGCATTTGGCACCCGGGGCGGATCCTGTGCTTGGCACCCCCCCAAAAAAAAAAAA